AATATATATACCTTATAAGAAACCTTGGGAATACAGAGAGCTAGAAGAAAGAAAATACATCACCAGTAACTCAACCAGGCAGACTTGGCCTCTGTAAATTTTTTAGTATTTTATAACACATTTTCAGGGTGTCTCTTTCCCTTTCTCCCCTCCTGCTCCCTCTTCCTCCCCTCTCTCTCACCATCAGATGGCACATGAAGCCCGAGCACTTCCTGTGTTTTTATTCTCCTAAAGGATGCTTTTTAATGGTTGTGCAGAATTGCATTTTATGGACGAACTATAATTATTCCTACGTGTGCTCCCCACAACACATTGCCGTGCATCACACAATACATCTTTGTTGAAGCAAACTGAAGTCAAGACTTAAGGGAAGGCCTCACAAAAAATAAGCATCTGCAAACCCTCTCCTTCCTCTCACTGTATGCACCCACGGAACAGTAAATATGCAAATTGTTACAGGCTGTTTGGGGCTTGTGGGGATAGGGATTAAGGAGAAATGGCTTTTTTAAAAGCACAGTATTTGCAAAACTTGATGGCACTGCAATCAGACGCTGCTGGAGATGTGCTCACAGGGCCTCCCTGGGAAGCCAACGTGAGCCTGACCTCCAGGAGAACTCTCCCGGCACCTGAGCAGGCTGGCTACTGGGCTTCTCCTGTTCTCCTCCTTACTTCCCTACTCTTCCAGGTCTCTCCTCCCCAGCTCTGTGATATTTTTGCTGTCTCTTCTCTTCCTCTTGGATTCACAGGAACTAGAATGACCTTTGTGGTGAAGTGTGGGATCTGGGGGTTCCACTCTCCTGACTCCAAATCCCAGCTTCATCACTAGTTATATCTGCCTGACTTTGGGGAAGTGAATCCTCGGAGCCTCCGTTTCTAAACTGTAAAATGGGAATAAGTCTGGCCTTGCACAATTCCCATTCATGCCCAGTCCTCTTGAAAGAGTTGCTGCTGCCTCACCTCTAGTGTCCGTACTTCAGTGAACACATGCGGCCTCACGTACTGACACATTTCTAGCTCTCGGTTGACTGTTCAGATGTCTTGCTCTTTTTTTAAAATTCTCTCCCCTAAGCCATGGGTCCACCTCCTCCTGGGTTTCTCCCTCTTATTCTGGTCCCTCCCTCTGTTTCCTTCGCAGGCTCAGAGGACTTGGCCATTGGACTGGAGTTTAGACATTCTCCTCTTCTCACTGAAGTTTCTCCAGTCGACCTTGACCTTGACATCTCTATACTGAGTGTGTCTAGAGCTGAACTCCTGATTCTCCCTAAAACCTGCCCTTCCCTTGGCCTTCCTCATCTCAGTGAACAGGGTCTCCAACCTCTGATTCTCTGCAAAGCCCCTGGCTGCTTCGGGACTCTTCTCTCACTCCCATGCCTGGGCCCTTGGCAAATCGTCTCAGCTCTGTTTTCCAAATTCAGCAAAAGTCTGACTGCTTCTCACCACCTCTGCCCATTTGCATCTTGGCTCAAGCTTCCTGCTTTTCCCTCTTCCCCATTACAGTCTACAGGGTAGCATGTCACAACCTTGCTAAGGGCCCTCCAATGGCTCTCTTCTCCTTCACAGTAAAAGCCTAAGTTCTTACAATTGACAAAGCCCTCCATGATCTGCCCCATTCTTCAGTCTTACATCACTGACATCATTTCCTAAGCACTCCCTTTCTCACTCTGCTCCTGCCACATGGGCCTTCTGCTGTCCTGCCCTCATATCAAGCATGTTCCCACCCCGGGACCTTTGCATGTGCCCTTTCCTCTGCCTAGAACACTTACCTCTACCACGTGATTCCTCCTTCATCTGCTTCAAATATCTACTCAAATGGCACCTGACTAGTAAATATCTCACAAACAAGTCTATATAAAATGGCAAGTCTATATAAAATGCCCCAATCCCTTCATACATAGCTGGTCTCTAAATTAATATTTCTAAACTGAATGTATTCTTAGAAGATCAGATCACTCGACTCTCTTTAGATATTTTAATCAAGAAAATGGTCCAAAGTGCTATAGATAAACATTTTATATGCTTATTGTTTTGGTCTTGTTTGTTCATTGTCTTCCTCCATTAGATTATAAACTTCACAGGGCAAGAACTTGGTTTTGTCCACTTAGTGCCGAGAATGAATGAATCTCATCCCTGCCCCAGCTTCGGTCTCCACCAAAAACAAACCTTGGTATTGTAGCTGCCATCTTTTCTCTGAAGCCTACTTGGTGACTCTTCTTGGCTCCTTAAAGTGGCTTTACGTTCATCAAGTACAATGCTGGACTTGGGGTCCTCCTTCCCAACCTGGGCCTCTTTTCACGTTTCCTTTTTGTCAATGACACTGCTCAGTAAAGATTTACTGAACACTAATGATGTGGCAGACCCCAGGGGTGGAGCAGTGGACCAAAGACAGGCGACCCCACCCCCGCGTCACAGAATGGGTGGTCCTGGGGACCTCTGCTCCCTTGGTAAGTCGAACATCACATGCACCTGACAACCCTCTTCTTCAAGGTGCCCCCCACAGCCCACCCAGCACCACGCAGGGATGGTCTTACCTCCTACATATTGCTTAGTCCACTCCTTTCCCCATCTCTGTCACCAATGCTCCTGTGTGGGCCCCATCACCTCTTGCCTGAAGGAGGACAACAGTCTCCTATCTGGGCCAGCCTCACTCCACCCTGTTCTCCACACAGAGGCCTGGTTGATTCTCCGGCCACCGCCCCTCCAGGGGGAAAGCTCCTTCGTCCCCACATCAGCCACAATGGCCTTATTCCCGTCCTCGCTCTTACACGACCCTCCTGCCCAGGTCCCTTGCACTCTGGGGCCTGTTCTTGGAAAACCTCCTCGCCTGCTTGCCTCTTACTCATTCCTCACTGTTGAGAGCCACAGCCAAAGAGGCCCCAGCAAACTTCCAGCTGCCAGCAAACTTCCAGCTGCCAGTTGATGATTGGCTCACAGTGGCCCCAGCAAACTTCTAGCTGCCAACTGATTGGCTCCTCTGCGATGATGCTCATTGGGCTGTTTCCTCGCCCTTTCAGACCACGGAGCTGCTCATTGGGGGACTTTTTTTGTTTTTACATTTTATTAAAGACAGGGTCCCAATAAGTTGCTTAGGACCTCTCTAAATTGATAAGGCTGAATTTGAAATTGCAATCCTCGTACCTCAGCCTCCCAAGTCACTGGGATTACAGACATTCACAGGGTTTTTCATTCACTGTGATTTCTTACATACGAACCAAAGAGAGATTGTTGCACAGGTCTTCCTTCTATTGCAGAAACAGCCCAACGAGCATCACCACAGAGGAGCCAATCAGTTGGCAGCTAGAAGTTTGCTGGCAGCTGGAAGTTTGCTGGGGCCCCTTCGGCTGTGGCTCTCAACACCTCACATTTCAGCTGGGGTGACGTCCTTGGGAGGGATGTTAGCTTCCTCTGAGCTCAGTCAAACATTCTGTCAGTGTATCTGAGGGTGGCAAAGCTCCCTTCCTACACGTCTCACAGTCACAATTTACGTGTACACCTGGGGTTACCAGGTGGCTGTCCTTCTCCCTCCAGCCTGTGAGCTCTAGGAGAGCAGGGACACATCTGTCACAGTCATCACTACCTGCCAGGGTCCAGTACAGTGTCTGACACGTAGTCAATAAGCAGAGAGCAATAAGCGTTTGCAAACTGTTTGACCAGATGGAAGAAGGACCTAGCACAGCAATGCTACGATTCCAGTGGAGCACGTCACAGTCAGCAGCCATTAGTCACCACTGGTCCCTTACCCCTTTCCACTGGGAATCCTTGGAACTTGGGGGAAAAACTCAGCTGGAGGTATCATCGTTGTGTAACCGTGTTGTCACATTGAAGCCATCCATTTCCTTTTGTTCTTTATTTCAAAGGTTATAAATGATTTGGACAAATCCTAGAACCATCTGACCCTATCCAGAAACCAATAGGTGGAGGTGGGAGGGAGACAGTCTCACTCCCACTCTCCACAGGGTGGGTGAGGGTCTGCGAATTAGGGAAGTGTGTCTGGAGAGTTTGCTTGGTGACCACAGAGAACATGACAATAGCACCCAAGTAAGAAACCTTCAGGCATCTATTGATGTCCCTGGACCTCTGGGAGGAGGACATGGCTTTTGTGCTGAGACTTAACACTACAAGTGCCTCCTGCATGGTGACGGGGTGGAGGCACACAGCATGTGCACGCGAACCCAATGGGAACACACAGTGGGAAAGAGATGGTAAGCAAGGCATGCAGACTGTAACAGTGGTACACGTGACAAAAGCCAGGGACAAAAAATGGACAGAGATCCTAGCACCCCGGACTTGACCTTCCAGCAGGACCTGAATGAGAGCCAGTCAATGACCTGCACAGGCTACCAGACCAGCAGACTGAGCAATCTCCGGCCCCCAAGTCTCCCCAGTCCCATGCAGCTGGGCAGGACCCAACCCAGATGGCCATGGGAAAAGAATGTGCTACACCTCTCAAGAAGCCCAGTCTAGCCCTGAGAGTGTGGGTGGGGTGGAGCCTCAACCCCAGCCCATCCTTCTCTCAGCATTTCCTGGGCCAGAAGCTGGCCTAGCCTCAGTTTCTCCTCTATGAAAGGAGAGGGGCAGGGTGGCAGGTACCTGGTGGCCTCGTGCTGGAGACAAGGGAAGCACTTGATGGCATATTGGGTTCTCCAGTGCGTGTGTCAAGCTTGGAACATGTGACCAAAGCCACCGCTGGCTACTTGATGCCAGTCGTCCTTGAAGTCATCTAGGGTGAAGATAGTGAGCCTGCCCAGCTGCTGCTCCAGGGGGCTGGCGGCCATTGGGTCAGTCGGGCTGGACCACCCTGGCCCTTCCCCACACTGCACACTCCATGCTGCCTGGGTGGCTGAAGGAGCCAGGAGCTTGATTTCCTGCTCCTCAGGTTGGGGAGGTTGGCAAGGTAGGCAAGGCCAGGCAAGCTGGCCCTCCCTCCTTCCCAGCCCAGGAGGAGCTGGTCCTTGCCCTGCAAGGATGGAGAAAACTGACCTGAGCCCAAGGCTCCCCCAGGGATGGAGGTGGCTGAACTGCAGAGAGGGATATGCCTCTCTCACAAGCACCCTACACCCTTCCTCAGTCTCAATCGTCCATTGATCTTCCCCAGCTCTCAACCCCAGAGCTAGGGAGGGGTGCAGGGCAAGGATGGCATCCCAAAGCTAGAAGCAAAAGTACAGCCAGAGAAGTTGGCCCCATTTTATTTAGATTAGTGCTGAGTGGAGATTGGTTTACGTCTTCCCGTAACTCAGATGTAAAAGGTCTTTGAAGGGTTCAGGACTGTGCTAGGAGTCTCTGTTGCGGGGCATGAAACCTAGACCCCACCCCTCCTCAGCAAGTATAGAGTGCAAAAACTTAAAGGTCTGAATCTGTTTGTCAGCTGATTTGATGCTTCTTTTGTTACTGTTGGGTTTTGTTTGTTTGTTTGGCATGTTAAAGGTCCCCAAGGAGGGTCAGCAGGAAGGGTGTGGGTATGGGGTGGAACTGCTCTGCTGGGAGCTTCCCTTCTGGATGATGCTCTTGACCCTGACCTCATAGGAATCAGACCCCTGGCCTAGGGCCACCATGGGGGAGGTGGGCTCCTTGGCCCCATTATCACGGGTAGATAGCAGCTGGAACACTGCCAGGCCCTCTTCTGGAAGGAGGACTTCGGAGCAGTGTTGAGCTGTTGAGAATCTGGCCTGAGAGCTCAGAGCAGAGACTTGGGAGGGAGGGGAGAAAAAGTCCCTGTAGAGTCCAGACTTGGGTGCTGGATGGATAGGAAGCCATCCTGGTGGGTTAAGGTAATAGGATATGGAGGCAGCCCAGGGAAGCAGTAGTAACACATTGTGATGGGCTCCTTTCTTTCTTTCAACTGTGTGCTTCCTCCCTCTGTCCTGGCCTCCTTTGTAAGTGGAAACTTACAGAGAAGGAGGTCCACCCCGGGGATGCAAGTTGAAGGGGAAGAGAGTTTCCTGGTGCTGCCAAGTGGGTCTGGAGACCAGGAAATGGCTCTCATCTCAGAGACCCTCAGAGCAGGGACAATTAGAAGTGCTTCTACACTTGGGTCTCCCCAGGGGCAGTGACAGAGTGAATCCTTGCCCAGAGGCAGTTGCTGCTAGGGGAACTATGGCAGGGCATGGCAGGGTTAGCTATCTCCTACCTCCAGAGGAGCAGGTGGACTGAAGTCTACCAAGTTCAAGTTTTTGGAGCATATTACCAGAGAAGAAAATGCCTGGCCTTAAACCCAAACCTGTAGGGTCCCTCATGCATGCCACAAAACCACCAGAGTCCCAGGAACAGCAAGAGCATGACAAGTGAACAGAGACTCCTGGTGGAAACTAGAGAACTCATTCTTTTGATAACATCTTATGAGCCGCCTCCAGGAAGAATTCTAGAAAGCAGATCAAAGACTGAAGATTGGGCCTGGAGACAGTTGTCATGGAGACCAATGATGGCCACTATTAACTCAGCATGAACTTGATTCTGGGATCAGTAGCAACTTACTGCAAGTGGTTTATAGACATATTGAAATCTACAACAATGTTATGAGGTCAACATCTCCCTATTTACAAATGAGACAAATAGGCTGGAGGGCCTACTGTTGTCAATGGTCACATAATTAGGAAGGGGTAGTTGACACTCAAACATAGTCCTCTTGGTTCCTGTGGAAATGGTCTGGTATAGGAGGAGACAGAATGGGAGGGCAGAATTTTAGAAATATGTGGGAAAGTGGTGGCAGTGGAGGGGAGTCATGCTCCCTTGGAAGAGGGTGGAGGTGGTGCAATCGGAATCCAGAGCAGGACATATCCCAGAGACATTGTCAGAGGGAAGTCCCCAGCTTGCTTTAGCTGGAGAGAGGCAAAGCATGAAAAAACTTACTGCCACTGAAGCAGCCCTGCCTGTCCGTGAGGAGTCCATGGAGCTTGGAAGACAATAGAGGACATCAATGTTAGGGAGAGCAGGAAGTCAAGGTGAGGCCTTTCAACCCCTGCCGAAGAAGGGAAAGGCGAAAACTGGAGAGGTAGACAGCTGCCTGGCCCTGAGGGAGTCTGACTCAGACTCTCATCTCTGACATCAGCAAGATCCGCTTAGGCCCTAGAGGAAATAGCAGGTGAACAATCTGCCTCCATTCAGCAGTTCCTCTTGGCCCAGCTACATCTGTAGCAGTTCTCCAGGAAGAGACAGAACACGGAACTACCAGCCGATGTGTGCAAGGACTGTCACAGGAACATTGAGGGAAGGAGGCATTGTCCCTGGAGGAGGAGACATGCAGGACACCAGGCAGGCTGCCAGGGTCCCTCCATGAGTTCCTCACAGGGTGGAGGGGCAGGCTCATGCAGAAGCCAGAGTGTTCTGCTGTCCCTCACCCCTGTTGGAACAGCCAGACAGTGGGTTCCAGCACTCCTGGGGCCTCTGAGGAATCAGACAAAATAGATATATCAAAGCATTTACCTACAGCACCCGGGCCTGTGAGACTGGGTGGGTGCTCCTCCTCCTATCTTCTATCTTCTAAAATGGGCCAGGACAAAGCCTAGTGGTCTTTCAATAAGCTCCAGGAGTGTAAGGTCACAGAGGCAAAAAATTCCTGGGTCCCTGAAGATTAAGTGGGGTGAGGTTGAGGGACTTGGGAAGGAGCAAGGTCAACTCAGAGACTGCCAACTTCTTTCCTGTGGTAGGACTGCTGAAGTGGCTGGGTCCTGCCAGTTTGAGAAGTCCACAGCCAGTGGGTAGGGAGAAGCCGGCTGCAGGAATGCAGCACCTTCAATTGCGCATGCCTACTCCAGAGCAGGCGTGGATAATGAGATGCTTGTGGTCTAGCTATGACCCACACACCCCAGAAAGGACTGAAGACATGCTCTAGCCATGGGAGGTTTGCCTTAAGAGGCTCCTGAGTCCTTCCTAGCAACTGTTATCAATGCATTTTATTTTGAAAGATTAAGGATGGAAATTTTCTGGACTTGGAATTATTAAGAGAATTGTGTATGCGTGTGTGTGATTGTCTTTGGGGAACCTAAATTTTCAGGCTGCCACTCCCAGACCAGTGAGCTGGTGGAGCCTTTCTGCAATTCTGTGGGTGATACTGAAAACGGAGGCCAGCCTCTCCCCTAACTGGAATGGCAAGCTATTTGCATATAGGGAAGTTCCCTGATCTGTTCCCATTCTCTGCCCTACAGACATGTCACCAGGGTCACCAGGGCATGCTCTGGCAGGCTCCAACCTCTCATAGCCTGTGTGCTGAGGTGAGGGCAATGTTAGTCAGGATAAAGGAATGTGCATGAAGCTGGAACATCTGCCCAGGAAGCAGATTCTTCAGCAAGAAAGGGGTGGATTGGGGCAATAGGAGCAGGGGTTAAGGACTGTGGAGCACTCTACTTAGCAGTTGTTGGGCTTGGCAATATTCCCAGATATCTCTGGGTTTCTTCACCTAGAAAATGGGATGATAATTCCCATTCCAAAAGGTTGCTATAAGGATTATAACCTTTTAAAACGCACCTCAACAAATGCCTATAGGCCAAAAGCGAACCAAATGAAGCCTCATGTCCAATCCCCAAATAAATTCCAAAGGGGCATGCATTTAAATATAAAAAGTAAAATTATAAAAATTATAGAAGAAAGTATTCTTGCTCTGGGTAAGGCAAAAACACAATTCATAAAATAAGAAACCAATGTTTTGAACTTGTCAAAATCAAAAACTTCATTCTGTGAACAACCCTGTGAGGGTGGTGAAAAGATAAACTACAGACAGGAAAAAAGAAGTATGAGCAAACCACATATTTGATAAAGTGCTCATTTCTAGAGTATAAAAAGAAGGCTTCAGAATTAATAGAAAACAAACAAACCAACAAAAAACCTCACACAGGATCCAATTAGAAAATGGAGAAATGACAGAAACAGACATTCTACTTACTAAAGAGGACATGCAGATGGCAAGTACGTGCAGGAAGAGATGCTCAGTATCATTAGCCATGAAGCAAATGCAAACGGAATCCACAATGAGATATCATTACATATATACCAGAATGGCTAAAAATAAAAATAAAAAATACAGTGGTAACAGTGAATGCCTTCAAGAAGGCAGAGACACTGGACCACTCCTGCATTGTAGGCGGGGATGCACAATGGTTCAGCCACTTTAGAAAGCAGTTTGGCAGTTTCTGGTAAGACTATACATACAATTCCATACCACCCAGCAATTGCACTCTGGGGAATCAATCCCAGAGAAATGAAAACTTATGTTCACACAAAAACCTGTGTATGAATGCTCATTGCGGCTTTATGTCATAACTAAAATAAGAAAACAACCCGATGACCATCCACAGGTGCATGGTTAAACAAACCGTGACATGTACATACTGTGGAAGGCTGCTCAGCAGCTACTGATGCACACAGCAGCTTAGGTGAGTCTCCAGGGAACTGCATTGAGTGAAAAAAAAATCTCAAAGGTTACATGCTGTATAATTCCATTTATATTACATTCTTGAAATGACAAAATTGTAGAGCTAGAGATTAGTGGTTGTCAGAGGTGGTGGTAGGGAGGTGGGTGTAGCCATAAATGGATGGGGCCAGGGATCCTCGTGATGAAACTGCTCCGTATTTTCAGTATGAGGATGGGCACATGAATTTACATATGTGATTAAACTGCACCAAGCTAAACACACACGTGTTTGTGTGCAAACACACATGAATGTGCACACACATGTGAATATGCCCAAAATGATAAAATCTAAGGTCTGTAGATTGTGTCACTGTCAATTTCCCAGTTGTGATATGGTGCTATAGTTATAGCAGATGTTACCTTTGGGAAAAATGGGGTTAAATGCATAAGAGATCTCTGCATTATTTCTAAAACTTGCATGTTTATCTATGATTATCTCAAAATAGAAGTTTTAAAAAATTCAAATAAAGCCTGCCTCCTCCTCCTCCTCCTCCCCCTTCTACTTCTTGTTCTTATTACCAGGTAATGTCACATTCTTGGGAGCAAAGTATTTCCATAATAGGTGAAAGGAGTAAGGCAACATAGATCACAGAAAGCCTTAAGGAGAACACCTGGTCCTTGTGGACAGGTAGAAACCCTTGAGAGAGAACAAAAAGTCACTGGGTTAAGATGTCTTGAGACAAGAAGGATGGAGAGGAAGCAAATTAACTCCCTCTAGGATGCAACTGTCTCACCCAGGGCATATGGTCAGGTGAGCTATACCTATCAGCAAAGCCAGAGTTACACCTGATTAACTTATTTGAAATAGTTATCCCTTGGTATCTACAGGGGATTTCAGGACTCCCTACAGATACCAAAATCTGTGGGTGCTTAATTCCCTTATGTAAAGTGCCATAGTATTTACATAGAACTTATGCACATCCTCCAGTGTACTTCAAATCATCTCTTGATTATTTATAATATTTAATACTCTAGGCGCAGTGGTACATGCTTATAATCCCAGCAGCTCAGGAGGCTGAAGCAGGAGAATCAAGAGTTCAAAGCCAGCCTCAACAACTTAATGAGGCCCTAAGCAACTCTGTAAGACCTTGTCTCTAAATAAAATATAAAAAGGGCTGGGGGACTGGGATTGTGGCTCAGAGGTAGAGCTTTTGCCTAGTATGTGTGAGGTACCAGGTTTGATCCTCAGTACCACATAAAAATAAAGAAATAAAATAAAGGTATTGTGTCCATCTACAACTAAAAATATATTTTAAAAAATAAATAAATAAAAAGAGCTGGAGATTTGACTTAGAAGTTAAGCACCCCTGGGTTTAATCCCCAGTACAAAAACAAACAAACAAACAAACAAACAAATAAATAAATAAATAAATAAATAAAATAAAATCTAATATAATGTAAATGCTAAGTAAATAATTGGTATACTGTATCATTTAGAGACACAGCAACACACACAAAAAATCTGCACATGTTTAGCACAGATGCAATTAGAAAACATTTTCAATTTGAAGCAGGTTGAATCAGTGGATGCAGAACCCACAGCCCAGAGGGCTGACTGTAGTTATTCAGAAAAAGTCATTTAAAAAAATGTCAACAGTTTGCTGTCCAAATTATTTCAGGGCCCTGTCTGTTTGCTGTGCTCACTGAGGCTGTGTGCCAGTGGTTGACATGTGTGGGTGCAGATGCGGGCTGTGCTCCAAGGCCAAGGGCATTAGTAAGGTGCCCTGGTAGAGTCTTGGGACTCTCACTGTCCTCACAGAGCCTGCAGCCCACTGGATGAAGCCTAACAGTAGCTGCCTGGTTTGCTGGCCCAGAGATCTGCTGACATTATTTTGACTCAAGCAGATGGACTTGTTACTGAATCCTTCAAAAAAGTGGTGCTTCTCAGAGTCAAGGTGGAGTATGAACAGAGGAATGAGAATGGAGGAAACCAAGAACGTGGTAGGAACATTTCTGGAGTTGTCAGAATATAATTTTTTTTTTCCTTTCCAATATGGCAACCAGTCTCCCCTTAAAAGGCCTTTCGATAAAAGCTATCTTAAGTGTCCAGAATCCAAAAACTGAAGCCCTAAGTTTCAGGAACCACTTCTGTCCAGTTTGGCCACAAGTTCTTTACGGTCCTGGATGCTTGTGACTCTGGGTTGGGTCCAGGCAAACATAAGTAACAAATGTCCCAAGAATCCTGCCACCCCATGCAGCTAGAAGAAATGCTTGGTCATAGCTGGGGCTTAAATGGCATCAGTCTAACACTGGGCCTTGTCTCAGTACCTCCAAGAGGTCATGGTCAGCACTTTCTCCGGGACTTTCAAAGAGACTATGAATTTAAAATATAACCCTTTTAAATTTAATAACCAGTCAGGCAGGGAGAACGCAAGAAAATAGACTTGACTTTCCCATTAGAGGGAACCCAACAGGGAAAATGCTGTCCTATGTCCACCTGTTTATCTGGAGAAAAATGTGTCATCCTCCCTCCACTGGGCCCTGGTGGGATGGGCATGGACCAGGAAGAGATGGAACTAGGGAGGGACCTGAATCCCAAGAGTTGGTTTCTATGGATTGTGCTGCAGGAAGCTCTGAGTGCCTGCTGGCTCTGCAGGAAAGGACAGGGACTTCTCAAACGGGACTGATGTGCTTTTTGTATTTTCTTTTTAGTGCAGTTCTTCCTTCCTCTTTCTTTTTTAGAGATGGAGAGTTAGTCAAATACACTTTTTTAAAAAAGTTTTTGTTTGTTCACCATTTGGCATAGGTGTGTGTGTGAAGAATACAATTCCTAAAAGTTAAATGGACTCTGGGAACATAAACTGGCAGGATCTCACTCACTGCTGCTTTCCCAGTGCTCCGTGTGAGAGAGGGAGCTCCTTCACTCTCCCTGAAGGAAGGAATGAGCAAAAGGTGAAACTCAGGGGACAGAGGCTGACTCCTGGCTTTTTATGAGACTCCTCTAGAAAGACTCTGTAGAGGGGGCTCTGGGTTATACTGTGGCTGGGCAGATTTTCCTTTGGTTTTCTCCTGCCTGCACCCCAGAGCCTGGAGAGATCCTCAGAGACTCCCATCACCATTACCCGCCTCCAGTCAGATTCCTTATGAACACTGACGACGGTTTGTGCATGTTCACATAATAGTTTCCCAAGCAAAGGACAATTCTGATGAATAAGAAATTGCTGGTGAGGCTTGAGGGACCAAAGCATTGAATAATAGGGCTTGCTGTGCAGTAAGCCTTGACTTCGTGCTGGGTTCCATTCACAGTGCTCCACTTCATTGAGTCCCTCTCAACAACCCCCTGACATAGGGTCTACTATCACTGCCATTTCTACAAGTCTAGAGAAGCCTAATTACCCAATACCTGACCACAGCGCTTGCAACTGGCTTGCCTCTTGCCAAGTCACATGCTCTTAACATATGGCTGGAACAATCTTGATCAAATTGAATATGACCTCTCTATGAGGCTCATTCAGGGCAATGGTGGGTTGTACACCTCCCTGCTAGGACTGAGCAATAGGTCATTTTAGGCCCTATGTCATCAGTGGAGATTAATGACACACTCCTTTCTCCTTCAACCTGGAAAGAAGGGAAAGAGTTTTGACTGAGAGGATGGTGAACTGATTCTGAACAGGTGGAGTTTGACTAATATTATACTCATCCAGACTTTGTCAAAAGATATCTTTGAAACCTTTGGCATGAAAAGGTCAATATTAGCTCAATCACATTTGACTTCTGGAGAGACTTCAGCAGAAATGTCTCTTTTTTTTTTTCCTCCTGTTGTGGCCAGAAACAAATAGTCAGCCCCTAGGACTGCCCAAAGTCATCTTTACCAGTAAGATGGAAACTACCTAAGTGATGATAAGTTTGCACCTGGGTGTGGAAACTTGATACAGATGGTGCTTCAGGCTGGGATAAGAGTGCCCTCTGGATTTCATTCTCTCTCCTTAAGGAGTTCAAAAGATGGTCTAGTAGAGAAAGGAGCCAATGGCTGGCCCTGGAAGCCTGGAAGCAGGAGCAAGTTGGAGAGGAAGAGTTGTAATTGACCAGCTTAGGATTCCATGTTTACCCTTGGATCAAAGGTAGAGTCTGTGCTATGGTTTGGATATGGTTCGTTCTTTCTAAAACCCAAGTTGAAATTTGATTGCCATTGTGGTGATGTTGGGAAGTGGGACCTTTAATAAGTGATTAGGCATTTAAGAGGGATTAATGCCACTTTTGTGGGACTTGGTTAATTTTCACGGGAGCGAGTTTTTGCTCTCAGGGCACTGAATTAGTTACCACAATAATGAGTTCTTAAAAAGCAAGACTACTTCTCATGTCCTGTCTTATTTGCATTCACCTACCTGCCCTTCTGTTTTCTACCATGTTCTGGAGTCCATATGTCCAAGATGAGCAGGTGATACATCTTGTGAGGGCTTCCTGCTTTTCTGGCAGAAAACTGTAAGTCAAAATAAACACATTTTCTTTACAAGTTACCCAGCCTGTGGTGTTCTGTTGTAGCAACAGAGAACAGACTAAGACAGAAAATTGTGGTCAAGAAGAAGAGGTTGCTATAACAATACCTGAAAATGCAAAATCGCTTTGGAACTGGGTAGTAAGACAGGAACAATTTTGAAGTGAATGCAGAAAAAAATCCTAGGTTGCTGTAAAAGCATCAAGGGCAATTCTCGTGAGGCTCAGAAGACAGGAAGACTAGATAAGGTCTGAATCCTCTAGAATAGTGATGACCAGAAAGCTGATAGAGATGTGTACAGTAAAGGCCACTGGTAATGAGGTCTTACATGGAAAGAAGATCTTATTGGAAATTAGAAAGAAAGCCATCCTTTTTATTTATTTTTTTAATTGACAAAGAGTTTGGCTGAGTTCTGTCCATGTCCCAGGACTTTGTAGAGGGTCAAACTGAAGAGTGATGAACTAGGATATCAGGCAGAAAAAAAATCTAAACAGCAAAGCATTCATACTGCTTCCTGACTATCCATGACCACATAGGGTGCTATGTAAGAACAAAGGAATGACCTAAAGGCAGAATTTATAATTAAAATGGAAGCAGAGCATTAAAATGTGAAAAAGCCAAAGCCTGGCCATGCAAAGAATGAAAAGGTGTGCGAGGGTACAGCCAAACAATCACTTACTACAAGATTAGCCTGGAAAGAAGGGATCCAGGTGCATCATTAGGACAACTGGGAAGGGGCCTGATGGGCATTTCAGAGTTCTTCCAGGCTGTCCTGGGCTCACGATGTCAGAGCCTTAAAGCTAGAAAGGGCTTGCTGCCCAAGGCCACCTTGAACTCTGCTTCCTTGACCTCTCCAGCCATGGTTCAAGCAGCCCCTAGTGCAGTTCTTGCCACAGCTCCAGAGATGCAAGCCATTTGCCTTGATGCATGCACATGGTGAATGCCTTGATGACATTCTGCAGTCACACAGAACAGAAGCACTGTGGAGGCTTCCTCTGCCTAGATTTCAAGAATGCATGTCGCATGGGTGGAGTTGCTAAGAACCCTTACTAGGACTACACTGAGTGGAAATGGGGAGTTGGAGCTGCCACAAAGAGTACTCACCAGAGCAATGCCTAGTGGGGGAGTTGCAGGGTGAGACTGCCTTGGCACCCACAACCACAGAGATACCAGCATGAAACACCAGTCTGAGGGAGTTATAATCTTGAGATCACAGGCTAAGGGAGCTAAAGTATGGATTAATCCCAGAAAAATCATAGGAGCAGGGCTATCTGAGATCCCTGGAGCCCAATCCTTCCCCCCAGTGTGTGTGGAGGGCAATAGAGGGAGTGAAAGATTATTCTATAGCTTTAAGACTTAATGTCTGACACACTGAGTTCTGAACTTGCTTAATGACTGTTACCCGTTTTTTTCTGACCTATTTCTTCCTTTTCCAATTGGAATGTCTACTCTATGCCTGTTCTGCAATTGTACTTCTGAAGTAAATAACTTTGATTTTACAAGCTCATAATTGACTTTGGACTTCCATGTTGGCATTGGAGCAAGATAAGACTTTTGGGTTAGTGGGATGGAATGATCCCATTTTGTATTGCAGGACATGAGTTTCTGTGTGGGATGCTATGTTTTGAATACAGTTCATTTCCTCTGAAACCCAGGATCAAATCTAATTGCCTTTGTGGTGATGTTGAGAAGTGGGCCCTTTGAGGGTGATCAGGTTGTTAAGAGGGATTAATGTGACTCTCGTGGATCTGGGTAAATCTGGTAATTCACTCTTGCAGGAGTGAGTGAATTCTTGCTCTCATGGAGCAATACCTCAGGAGTGGGTTATTGTAACACAGGGATGCCACTTGTGTTTGGCCCCCTCTGCATATGCTTGCTTGCCCTTCCAGTTTTCTACCATGCTATGACACAGCCTGAGGCCCTCAGAAAATGCTGCTGCCCAGTCTTGGACTTCTAGTTTCCAGAACCACGAGCTAAAATCTGTCCCTGTTATGATTTATATATTTGGTGTCCCCAAATCTCATGTGTGAGCCATTGCAAGAATGGCCAGAGGTGAAAGGATTAGATTATGGGAATTATAACCTAATCATTGGATTAATCCACTGATGTGGACTAATTGGGTGGTAATTGCAGGCAGGTAGGGTATGGATGGAGGAAGTGGGTCACTGGGGGACTGACTTCGTGGTTTATATTTTGTACCTGGTGAGCAGAACTCTCTCTGCTTCCTGGCTGCCGTGTTCTGAGCTGCTTTCCTCTGCTGTGCTCTTCTGCTGTGATGTTCTGCCTCACCTTCAGCCCAGAGGAATGAAGTCAGCTGACCGTGGACTGAACCTTTGACACCATGAGCCAAAATAAAATTCTCTTCCTCTAAGTTGTTCTTGTCGGGTCTTTTGGTCACAGTGATGACAAACTGACCAGTACAATATCTATCCTTTATAAATACCTGGTCTGTGGTATTAGACTCTAGCAACAGGGGACTAAGACCGTCAGCTTCACCTGGATCCGGTGGTCTAAACATGAGGGAGACATGATTCCTCAAGAAAAAAGTCACAGCCACATTCCTGGAACAGGAGGAATTCCCTCGCAGACTAGACAAGCAAATACCCAAGTCAGAGAGCTAATCATGTTGATGAGCCCAGTGAGGTCAAATTGGGGCCTCTGACTTTTGGTTCACTCTGGTTCCAGAGTATCTTCAGAAAAGATGGTGGCCCACGGAGGGCAACCTTTCCTAGCTTCCTGCTGTGGAGTAAGCATTTCCTGCCACTCCTGCGGAGAGTGATTTTCTTTCTCAGTGAGTTCCATGATAGCGACAAACAGTCCAGTTATTTGAAGTTTCTGTATTTCAAAGATACCATCCCTACTTCAATGCCTGACGAGAATTTTGTATGATTCCTCCAGTTCTGAAAAACAAAACAACAACAACAACAACAACAAAACTACCTATTTCCTTTGTTGATCTTCTAATGGTCGAGAGCCTCAGATGTGTGGCCTGTACATTTGGAAAGGACTATAGGGCTCAGTTCTGGGGAGGACCTCATGGTAAATGGCATCACAATGGTAGGAGCACCTGTGAGAGCAATTACATAGCCGGATGAAATCAGAGAGAGAGACTGGAGTTCCACGAGAAATACACTAATCTCTTCCAAGGTCATAGCTCCAGTGACTGAATGACCTCTTTCAAGGCCTCACTTTCACATGGGAAAAATTTGTATCATCAGCCAAGATCCTTTCATTTATGAACTGCTACAATACTGAGAGCAGATAAATAGAATTCTGAAGACTTAAAAAGTTTCCTTTGCTTGAAGGACTCCAGGCACCCACCTGCACCTGGGCTTTGGAGTAATGGCCCTGCCATCCAAGGGCTGGGTTTAGAGAACCTTCTGGGCCTCCCTCTATTGAGATGTTTCTGTAATACTTGACATGGGTTGCATGAATAGGGGACTCAGGCCTTGGGAGCACCGCAGGCAGCTTCTGATTGCTTGTGTCTAATTTGTTTTCACTTTAACAGTGCCTCACTAAAGCTACAGTAGCAGTGGGTGAGAAAATAGGATTCTTTTTACCCAAAGTGATGTTGGACATGGTGGGTGCCTGCTGAATATTTAGTGAGTGAATGAATGCGGAGCCTCTTGGGAATATGCTGTCATTTAAGTAACCTGGGCAGAGGTTGATGTACCCGCAGATGCTGAACGCCCCTGTGGGAGAACAGCGATGCCTGGAAATCTGAGCACCTCCATTTTCACAGAGAAAGCGCTGTGACCTCCACAGACTTGAAACCACTCAACACCTCCTCTGGCATGCTGGGCCCCACCAGATGTGAAAGTAATCCTTTGCAATAGGGAGGGTTAAGCTGTTATCTACCAGACTGCTGATGGATTAGCAAGGCTTTCTGATAAAACCTTAAAGGGTTAGAGTTTCATTTTCCCCTTCACGCTCAGGGAACACGGGAAAAGATCAGGCTAGTTGACCACATGGCAATTTAAGCTGGAAAACTGATGAGAGGAGGGGCAGGGCCAGACAGTGGGTAGTGAGGTTCAAGGTGAAGGCTGGAGGCTGGCACTGGTGTAGCCATGGTTTCCTTGGGAGATTGTGGACAAGACATTAACTCTCTGGGCCTCTCTCCCCTTAGCTTCAAATGGGAAATACTAGTACCTGCCTGACAGGGACATTGTGCAGATGAAATGAGATCACTGACATGAAAGGCCTTTTGAAGATGTTAAAAGCACTTCCCCATGCGAGGCTGTTATCACAAAAAGGAGACGCACTGCAAGGCTGAGTCTTGTCCTGAAGTGCCAAGATTCTCTGAGGCCTTTGAGGGCTGGCCTTTGCCCTCTGTTTGCTCAGAAACAACACAAAGGGGACCATCTAGTTCAGGGTCATGTGGATATTGTGAGAGAGAATGGAGGTGGCAGCCACATATGCCTCTGAGGAGTCGGGGTAACTGGGTGTGTGACCCTGGTTTGGAGAGTCAAAGGAGATGGGCTCATGCTGGAAAGGGAAGCCGCTCTCTCCACTGGCAACTCCTTCACACGCTCTTGAGGGCAGGGTCAAGGGCAATGCCAAGCACAGACTCAAGACCCTGCCCTCCAGAATGGGATGGCCTTAGAGTAAGTAAGTTTATTAAAATCAGTCTATGCTTATTTCTCTTATTCTTATCTGTAAGACTTCCTTAATAAATTTAAATTCTAGTTGGAGAGAAAAAATAAAAACACTGAAGAGAATTTCATAACAATGAATATTTAAAAGTGCAACATCCTGCAGAAATTCAGAGACAGGGAAAAACCAGTGTGGGCTGGAGAGGGCTTCATGTGGAGAGGGGAGTGCCTGGAGGGACTAGATACAGATCTCCGGGCCAGTATTTAATTTCTTTGTGCCTCAATTTCCTCATCAGTAAGGGGGGGAGAATAATAATACTATCCACCTCGTTAGACAGAATCTGAAACCTACTAAATATTTAACAAAAGGTACTTGTCTCTTTGATTATGCTGGGGCTTTGTGAATGTGTAGAATTTAGAGAGGAAAGGAGAAAGGATTTCTTATGTGGGGGGGGGAACAGCAGGTGCAGAAAGCATGGGGACACATGCAGACCAATACTGGGGAGCCAGTGCCAAAGAAGAGAAAGGCACAGTGCGGGCTGTCACTCAGCACATTCCTCAGGCTTCCACGGGATGCCGGCACACCACAAGGAACCACAAAGACATGGGACCCAGGCTTGATGGCCTAGATGGGAACCAGAGAACATGACCCTAAGACCAAGATTACTTTATGGTTCAGCAAGGTTCTACTGGGTGGGTTGTGTGCAAAAGTCACGTAAAATTTTATAGCTATTATTTGTGAGAAAAAGTAATTTGAGGATTAATAATAGATACGTTGTTTATTTTAAATTATATCTAAAACTTATGAATCAGCTCTTACTCATGTGTAGTGTAAAGACTGCATATACATCATATAGTATTGTAGGTAAAATAATGAGTGCTTTATCAGTAAAATCTTGGGAAATTAGAATAGTTCTGTAGTCTCTCTCTCTCTCTCTCTCTCTCTCTCTCTCTCACACACACACACACACACACACACACACACACACACACACATACACACTCATATACAGCAAGGATATTTGCCCTTTTTTTGTGTGTGTGTGTGTGTATGTGTGTGTGTGTGTGGTGCTGCGGATTGAATCCAGGGCCTTATGCATGCAAGGCAAGCACTCTACCAACTGGGCTATATCAGCAGCCCTGCCCTTTATCTTCTAGACAATTGTATAAAGGTGGCTGAGAAGAGGTGCAACATACTGAAATAGTGTTTAAGAGGATTACTCTGAGAGGAAGGAGCTCAGGAGAGGGTTGAGGGGAGGGAAAGGGAGGTGCTGGGGAATGAAATTGATCAAATTATGTTATGTGCATATACGAATGTGTCACAATGAATCCTACTATTATGTATAATCTAATGCACCAATAATTAATAAAATACAAAAGAGGATTATTCTGGCTACAGTGTGCTTTAGTCTGGGTGAGGCAGGGAGATCAGTAAGCAGGCAATTGCAATCATTCAAGTGAACCAAATCCAATGCTTGTCTTTCTTACTTTCCCCTGATGTTGACAATGTGGTGCAGTGTTCAGCTACATCTAATACCACTAAATGCTCATTTCAATCCTTCCTTCTCTCCCTGGGCCTGCCCTTCACTCTACCTGCATTCCTACCAACTCTCCTCACCAGCCCAGCTCTCCAATTCTGCAGGCCCATCTAAATCTCGATAACATTGAACCTGGAAGTCCACTCCTCTTTACCCTACCTTTGGAATAGGATTATGTAGGAATGCTCCTGACCCTGATTACAGCCCTTATGTTTAAGAGCTCCGGAAAAGAGCACACAGCGATGGCCAGGCAGGGGCATCTGGGAAAGCAGGGAGGCCAGTATAATGGCAGAGGTATCTTCCCCTTCCTCAGGGCTTACTTTGTGCCAAGCACAGTGCGAAGTTCACAAAATCAACCCCATGAAGTAGGAATCATATTTCTCACCCCATCTAATTTTTTTTTTTTTGGAACTGGGGATTGAACCCAGCGGCATTTTACCACTGAAGTACATCCCCAACCCTTTTTTAAATTTATTTATTTTTTGAGACAGGGTCTTACTAAGTTGTTGAGGCTGACCTGGAACATGTGATCCTCCTGCCTCAGCTTCCCAAATTGCTGGGATTATAGGCATGAACCACTGCACTGGGCATGTTCCCCTCTCTTAAAGACAAGGCAATCAAGGGGCAAGCAACTCACTGAGCTTATGAAATTGTAAAGAGTGGTACTCAGCTTTGTACCTGCAACCTGCTGGAATAGGCTACCCCCCAGGGTTTCTGGGTCTGGAATCCCTGCCCTGCTATAAACCATTAGGTCAAGGGTCCTGGAACAAGGAGAATTGCTCTTTCTGAGTCCCAGCTTTCTGTTTTGTAAAATGAGGACATGTGGGCTGGATATTTTGAGTCAGGGAATTGTATTAAGCAAACGAAATCAGATGGATTCCAATAAAGCTAATATTAGATATGTGATCCCTGAATAATTTTTAGCTTAGACATTCTAAGAGCCTTTTTTCTCACCACATATTCCAACAATTCTATCTTGCCATGCCTGTGATCCAACCTAAATCCCTAATGCACACCAGCTTACCCGTTTTCATGTGAAAATTCATCTCCTGGCTGCGGAGAGATGAACTCTGCGTGGGCATGCGTACACGCGAGCTGTGGCTGGAGGGGAGACAAAGGATCTAAATGAGCAGATGGAGCTGCTAGAGATTAAAAGTGTAAATGTGAGGCTGGAGATAGATTTGTGACAATGGAGTGATGCTGAGGCTGAGGTGGACTGGCACATCTGGCAGACAGCCACCGTCACACACAGCAGCTTCCTTAAACTGGCCATGACAAGAGTCTGGCTCCAGAACTGGGGGTGTTTGAGATGCTCGGTGGCAGCACAGTGCTCCCTGTCTTCCAGAGAAGCCTGAGCTAGCCTCAGGGCAGATTCAGACCACGGGACAGAATGTCTCCAGGGAGAACTCATTCTTCATTTTCCCTTTTTGAAATTGAGGACAAATTAGAGATCTTGTTAAAAAGAAACTAGTCAACCCACCAGTTTCAGATTCTGAAAGCCCAGTGTTTGGCTGTCAACCAACCACTGCAGGACATGGAGCAGGGGACTAGGTGATGGTTCCTCTGGGCTTGGCTTCCCTGTTCTCAGTGACTTGGCCTGTGGGTCGGGCATGCAGCTGTGGGACTTGAGGAGAAAAGAACTAACAATATCCTGAGGGATGTGTGGTTGGAGTGACAGTTGATGGAATCTACCATTTTCTTGATTCTAAACTAAGGAAAAATAGCAAGAAACAGAGGGGCATCTGTTTGGAGAGGGGGCTTTGAGGCACTGATTCTAATACCTTTCGCCACACATGGTGTCCTGCTAATAGAAATGCAGCCCAGCCCCAGATCCTGGCAGGGCCCAGTCATTTGGTTCCTGGAGAGAAGCACTGTTCCTGGGCTCAGAACATGCTTAGAACACCATCCCAGCCAGGACTAGAGTTCTCAGAACTTGCTGTTTGGATATAATATAAGAAATCAGGCTGGCAGCTGGGCTTGGAGGGATCCTCATATGTGCTTCTCCAGGCACAAAGAGAAAGGTAAACATGCTTGCCTCCAGTGAACTGGAGATAGCAGATCTGTGAGCATAAAAGAGTGTCTCGTGGTGGTCATTTCTGATAGAAAAGTAATATTCCGGGCTGGGGCTGTAGCTCAGTGGTAGAGCGCTTGCCTAGCACAAGTGAGGCACTGGTTTCAATCCTCAGCACCCCATAAAAACAAATAAATAAAATAAGAGTTCAATTCTTAAAAAGAAAATAGAAGAAAAAGAAAAGTAATATTCACCATAAAACAAATGTCTTCTACTTGCAGTCACCTGTCCTAGGTACCTCATGAATATTATATCCAACCAAAGAATGTGAGTAGGGGTTGTTGCTCTTATTTTAAAGAGAGGAAACCGAGGCTAGAGAAGGATGATGACTTCTGCAGGCTGCATTTAGTAAGTAGCAAAATCTTTTCTACAGAAAGAGTTAAAACAACATGGGGTCAAATTCTGACTCCCCTACTTACTGGTTATGGGACCCTAGGTGAGGAAGTACCTATTCTCTCTGAGATTCTGTACTCCTAAAATGAGAATTAAACAAAACAAAAAAGAAAAACCTTGCCTCACCAGGTCCTTGTGAAGCTTACCCTGGGTGCAGAGCAGGTGCTCAATGCACTGGCGGGGTCTATTTTCTCTCTGTGCAGAGCTACAGGACACCAGCCCAAGAAGGCAAAGGCCCTCTCACACTGGGAAAGGGAGTCATCCTGAATGTGTTTTCTTCACCTCCAATTATTTCCTCCTCTTACTGGGCTTGGAGGAGAGCCTGTGATTTCAAGACAGAAAAAGTGATCTATGCCAGGTATGGTGGTACATGCCTGTTATCCCAGAGGCTTGGGAGGCTGAGGCAAGAGGATCCCAAATTCAAAACCAGCTCTAGCAATTTAGCAAAGTTCTAAGCAACTGAGTGAGACCCTATCTCAAAATTTAAAAAATATTTTAAAAAAGGGCTTGGGATGTGGCTCAGGGGTTAAATGCCCCTGGGATACAAAAATAAAAAGAAAGAAAATGAGATATATTGCAAAAAAAAAAAAAATCAGGGCTGGGGATGTGGCTCAAGCGGTAGTGTGCTCTCCTGGCATACATGTGGCCCAGGTTTGATCCTTAGCACCACATACAAAGATGTTGTGTCCGCGGAAAACTACTAAATAAATATTAAAATTCTCTCTCTCTCTCTCTTTAAAAAAAATCATAGGACTAAACATCTTCTGTCCTTCCTCCAAATTCTCCAAGCCAAGAGGCTCTTGTTGTAGTCAGGCCTCAAAAAAATTACTTCCAATAGCAGTCCCTGAGCTGTGGCATCACCTTGTGCCCCTCCTGCTATTTCCTTCTGTTATTTAACTTCAGTGTCACTTGGCTGCCCAGTACAACTGCTGATGTCTCATCATCTCTGAATGCAGGGGACAGCTGTTTAGTCTGTTTTCTAGTATCTTTGTTGGGTTTCAGCACAGAGATTGAGCTCCATCTTGGTCACATCCTCTTTAGGATGATCCCAGCTCCTTTGTCCAAGGAAACATCAGACTCTACTTTCCCTGAATAGTCCGTACCTTGAGGGTGGTATGGTTGGTGCCAGTGGCTGCTGGCCCACAGGACATGCCATAGTTTTTTTTTTTTTTTTAAATGCTGCCTAGATCCCTTGCATAGAAATGTGCATTAGGGTAACAAGATGGGGAAGGGTAGCTCACCTTGAAGTAGCACCTGTTTATAAGACATCCCTTCCCATCTGTGAGAGGAAGGCATGCCTCAGGTGCAGCAGACCCTCCTCCAAAGTGAGAAAGATTACTGCTCTCACAGGTGCTCTGAAGCACAAATAATAAAATTTGACATTCCCCACTTTTCAGCGATAAGATTACACCTATAATAGCCACGTTCAAGAGCCAGGAAGGAGGAGTGCAGCCAAAGAGCTGGAGAAGGAGGACCTGAGCTGAATCAGACAAGCCTGTCGGGTGTGCACAGAGGCAGCTTTTTCCATTTTCAAAGCTCCACTGAATTCTCACTGAAAAAGCACATTTTGCAGCCTCTAATTTTCTCTTCTTGCTGTTTAGCATCAAGCCATTCCCCCTTTGCAATTCAGTAGCCTCTTGAAGGGTGTTTGTTTGCATGACAGTATTGAGTGGGCAGGTCCCAGCTTCTCTGAGGCCTGTCTCCTGCCTGCCACTCAGGGAGAGTAATATGGCACCAGCACAGTGTACTCCTGGGAGCTCACACCAGCCCCATGTGGTACCCCAACCCCAGAGTGAGGGCCTCTGGGTTAGTGAGTCTTCCAACCAGTCCCACACCCCCCACCACCAATACCAAACACCATTTAAGCCAATGACTGCCTCTCCTAGGAAGAATCGTCTCTTTGTGTGTGTTGAGTAAGATCTCTCTGGAGGTTTCTTTTCCTAAGTGTTTCAGAAAACATCCAGCTTTGATTCCTTAAAGGATGTAAAATTACCCATTCCCAAACCCTCAAACTTAAATCCACCAACATCATAGTAGCCCCCCCCACACACACCCCTCAAGATGGAAATGCTTGGTGTATTTGCGTGGTGCTGTAATTGCCTAACATGCCTTCGTCTCTGGTGTCAGTAAGTGTTGTTACTGTACAAATACTGAGATAATTAGCTTATAAAGAGACTGTGTTTATTTTGGCTCACGTTTTAGAGGTTTAGTCCATAATTGGGTGGACCTTCTGTTTTTAGGCCTCTGGAGGTTGGCCAGCATAAGGCAGGCACATGGCTGCCGAGCACACTGTTCACTTCTTGGTGGGAAGCAAAAGACAGAAGACGACCAAGGTCCTATTAGCCCCCTCTAAGGGCACGACCTTGTAACCCAAAGCTCTCCCACCTCTTAGAATTTCCACCACCTCCCAAGAGTTCCAAGCCGGGGACCAAGCCTTTAACACATGGATCTTTGGGGGACATTTCAGATCCAAACTATATACCCCCAAACCCTAATTTAACCTTCACAGCAACATGAGAGATAGGCTGGCCAGGTGCCATTCCAGTTTTCCCAGATGCAGCAGCCTGGGAGATGAGGCAACCTACCCAATCACATAACTGGGAGGTAGCAGGGTACACCATTCTTTGGAACTTTGGTAGGGGACTCTTGTCATTCACTGTACAGGGTTGTTTTAGTTTTCATTGCTGTGACCAAAAGACCTCACAAAAACAATTTTAAGGAGGAAAAGTTTACTTGGTGCTCATGATGTCAGAGTATTCAGTTCATAAGATAGCTGGCTCCATACCTAGGTGCTTGAGATGAGGCAGAACATCAAGATAGAAGGGTGAGGCAGAGGAAAGCAGCTGAGGACATCACACCAGGAAGCAGAGGGACACAGCTCCACTTTCCAGAGACAAAATATATACCCCAAAGGCATACCCAATGACCCATCTCCTCTAGCCACATCCTGCCTGCCTAGGGTTATCACCCAGGTAATCTCTAGCAGGAAATTAATGCACTGATTAGGCAAAGGCTTTCATAACCCAGTCTTTTCACCTCTGAACATTCTTGCATTATCTCACCATGAGGTTTTGGAGGATGTCCTCATATTTAAACTATAACAAAAGTAGATCCTGTCTCCTATTCTAAAATGACCAAGTGATTGAACTAAAAAGCCATAGTAGTCTCACTAGACTTTTCACTTAGGGACTTGGAGTCTACAGGTGGCTATGGTTTAAGGTTTTATGGACATGGGTCAATGAAAAGGGAGCAGTGCCTTTGAGGATGGGATAGAAGCATAAAGAAGGATAGAGGAATCAATGTATGCATAAGTCAGGGTTCAGTGCATAAACAGAAGCCCTGTTCTGGCATTTTAAGTAGAGAACAATCTAACACACAGCATGGGTACATATGACACCACTGGATGGGCTGTAGGGTGCCAGGCATGGCATCTGCAAATAACTCCCAAGACTGCACAGAGCTGTTCTGACAGCCAGCCACTTGGACCACTGGGCCCACTGAGTTCAAGAGCACGTGCCATAGCTGTGCTGGGTTTCAGAAAGCTGCCACCACTCCTGCCACTTTGTCTATCTCAAGGCACTCAGAGCCGGAAAGCAGATGCCAAAATGTCACTGCCAAGAAACCTAGCATTTCTAGCATGTTGCCAGCAAAAGATGGCAAATGGGGCAGGAAGTGGTCTTAAACTGGCAGGATCTGGCTCCCATCTACAAGTGTTGTTGTAAGGGGTCTGGAAAATGTGGCTTTGTGTTGGCTGGGTTCCAGACTACACAGAATGGGAGGGAAGATTCAGAGGCGGGTACGATGGAGTTGAGCTCGCTGAAGCAGTTTCCATTACAGTCACCACCGATGCCCACTCTCTTCTTACCAGTGAAAACACACGAGACAAACACACTGAAAATAAACATTCAGTTCTAGAGTGGATATCTAAGAAAACTTTATTAGCACATCATCACCCCAGAACATATTCTGTGTGTTTACAAATTAGCACAGACACCACCTCTCTCAAGAATCCTGGATGTATTTCATTGTAGAGTTGAGAATTTCCATCCCATGAAGCTCTCTCAGTTGAGCAGTAAACCTATTATAATCGGAACACCAAATCCAGGTCAGAAATGTCACATTTCCAAGCCATCCCTATCTCATATGACAGCTGGCTGGGAACATTAGCCCATCTCTCTGAGTGGGAAGAGAAGTGGCTGTGGCACTGGTGAGCTGAGCCCAAGAGATCAAAGGGAAAGCTCACAGGGAGACCACAGCATGCTGAAAACACTCTTGCTGTGAGTGGCAGGTGTGACAGGCTGATCAGATGGGACCATGTTCTCGGGGACTCCCCAGCAGGTTGCCACTTTGAGCTCCTCTTAGCTAATGTGCCCTGCTTTCTGTAGAAGAAAGATTTTATCTGTTCCTTCCATTTGATCAACCAGACAGAATTTGAAAGGACCTCAGATGTTATCGAAGCCAGCCCTCTCATTCTACAGAGGCATCAGAGGTGTGTAGCTGTAAGGAGCCTACCTCCCCTCAGCCCCAAAGGCTCCCTGCTTCTATGCTAGGGGAACACCCTCCAGACACACACACACACACCAGGATGTTTAAGCACATCAGAGCGAGAGCAGAGCAGAGCAGAGCAGAGCAGGAGCCTGAGCAAAAAGAAGCAATGCACAGAGTTAAGGTCAAGATTTCCTGAGCTGGCTTGCTGGGTGGCCTCAGATATGAGTTCTGAATATCTGCTTCTCCATTCTGTTTCCTCCAGTGGAAAAAATGTCACCCTTACTGGATATTCCTTTGTTTGTTTAGACCCAGGCAATCAATCAACTAACCAACCAACCAACCAACCAACCAAGTTGGAACCTGTTCTGGAAAAGTAAAGAAAGAGAAAGGAAGTTGCTAAAGTTTGGATTTTGTGTGTGTGTGTGTGTGTGTGTGTGTGTGTGTGCTGGAGATTAAACCAGAGCCTTATGCAGGCTGGGAAAATGCTCTACCAATTGAAGAGCATCCTTAGTCCTACAGCTTGGACCTGATATGTCTCCCAAAGGCCCATGTGCTAAGAGGCTTGGTTCCAGTCTGGTGTTACTGGAGGTGGTGGAATCTTTAGAAAGTGGAGCTATTGGAAGGAAGTTAGGTCACTATGAGGATGCCCTTGAAGGTGACATTGGGACCCCAGTCCCATCCTGTCTATCTTTGCTTCTTTGCCACCATGAGGTAAACAGTCCTTCTCTGCCAAATGTTCCCAGTATGATGTACTGTGCCACCATGGGCCCAAAGCCACAGGGCCAAGTGAGCAAGAACTGAAACCTCTGAAATTGTGAGCCAAACAAACCTTTACTCCTCTTAAGTTGATTTTCTCAGGTATTTTGTCACTGTGATGAAAAGCTGACTAACAGAGAGTGGGAGAGGAGGAGAGATGGTGTGAGAAAGAGAGGAGGAATGGGGGCAAGTGAAGGAGAGAAGGATGGAGAGAATGAGGGGCAAAAAGACAATGGCTGTAAGTGTGTGGGACTGATGCCTCTTGAGTTGGAAGCTGAGTGTTCCCCAGTTCCTTTGAGGAAGACTTCCTGCAGGGAAGAAACTGCTAGGCCCCACAGAGGCCCAGGCAGAAGGCATGAGGGCTCCCAACAGAACTCCATGTGGCATATGGTCCCTTGCAAAACAGTGCTTGGCTTGGCCCACTCTTTCTGAAATGTCACCAGCATTTGGGATGGCCTGGCTCGGTGGTGGCTAGTGTACCTGGGCTCGGCTGTACACAGCTTCCCCAGAGCAATGCCTGCATTCAGCTGCACCGCTGAATTCTGAGAGTCGCTACCAGCAAGCTTTAACAGGACCAGCACCAGGTCTGTCTTCAGCAGAGAAGATGCAATCTTGGGTACCTCCATGCAGTTGCCAAGACAGAGGGCAGCATTGCCCACCAGAATCTCGTCGTCCGAGCTGAGCAGCTTCATCAGAATGTTGAACTCTACAGGGAAAGATGAGAACAAGTAACAAGGAACAAGCTCCTCTGGATCCCCTAAAAGGAGCCTGGCAATGGAACATGGGCGGGGGGCAGGGAGGCAATGGTGGATGCTGAGCTTCCCCAGAAACCCTGAGAAGAATGGGCTCCCTCACACTCAGAAAATGTCCACTGAGTGCTACAACCTCCTCAACTCCTCCCGGTGTCCCTGCGGTATCTCAGGTGCCTAGAACAGCACCCAGCACAACACAGTTGCTGTGTGAATGAGCTGAGTGTGCCAGGCAGGTCTGCCTTCTCCAAAGTCTCTCCACGCCCCATAACCGTGACAGTCCCACTTGGCAGCCTGAGCGGGAGGCAATGTGCCCACCTCCTGTCTCTTCCCTCTGGGTTCCCATCCCTTCATCAGTCACCTGTGGTGTTAGGCTTAGACTCTGTTACTTCCCTTCATCTCTAAAAGTTGAAAGTGGTTTGTTTTCATTTCCCCTCCCTCTGTGAAGGAAGAAAGCTGGTGCTGGGTCAGTTTAAGTAGACTTAGAAACCATTTCAGTTTAACTTGGGCAGAGGAGAAGGTTTCCCAGAATCCACCCTGTTACCTTGGAGTGGTCTTTCAGCTGGGCCTCCTCCCTGGGCACTCTACCTGTGCATAGCCAAGAGGCTAATGAAATCCTTTCCTATTTGGAGGTGAACTGACATCTCATTATGCCAATACTGCAGATGGCCATAGTTCCCTCTGCAGCCTCAAGGTGGAGGAACCTCTGGGATGGGGGTGCCTTAATGAAATCCTCACTTACTTTTATCGAGTCTTATCACTTCTTCCCGCGCTTCGTGATAACTATTTGTGCAGATAGCCAGTGTCTTTATAGCATAATGTGATGCAGTCTGGCCTCCTGTCTAGATTTCAGGATGAAATTAAAAAGTAAAATCAATCTATGATAATTCTTGACCAGAAAGCACAGGAAGAAGTCACAGTAGAGCTATTGGCCTTCTGAGCTTCTAAGAGAAATTCCACTGAGAATAGCATGAGCTTCCTGGTGAGCGGGGAGAGACTGTCACTCACATACCCTTCTAATAGCTCATACTTTAGGCAGGAACGTAGGCCTGTCATGTATACATGACACCTCTAGAGGGCTTTGAGCAAGTGGCTGAGAGGAGAATGATACTGTTGATAGGTAGATCTACCAAGAAGGAGAGGGAAAGGCCTTCCTGTGTCCTTTCAGCTTTTGAGAATGAAGCTGACATTTGTTGTAGAGAACATCATGAACTTAGATCATCATAAGAGGTGACATATATCAAATCATAACCCCTTAAAACTACCTAAGGCGGGGTTTTTAATATGCATGTGTATATTTGTACAATTTGCTGTGTGAACTTGGGATCTGCAGCCTCTGCCGGGCTACAGAGGTTGTTTAGAGGGAATGACATCATCGTCCAAGTGGCAGCCTCAACTCAGACCCACCATCCTACCCTCTCCACACCTCCTGCCCCCTCAGCCTGGGGTTCAGTATTGCTGTGCTAACATGCCTGGGCCTCACTGGACACATGCAGGTGGGATCCAGACACAGCAGCCTAATAATGCACTTTGCCCTTTCAGATGAACCAGTTGTTCGTTTGGCTCCACTGCACTCATTTCAGAGGGAAATTCCCACATCCTCTGGTCACATGGTAACTCTACAGCCTCCATGTCTCATAAATAAAGTTATATCCAGCAATCTCCAGATAACTATTTAAAGCATCATGAGCCCATGAATAAAATAATTGACCTGAAAACCTTTCAAAAAGCCATTTAAATCATCTCATTAAAGGACAGAGGCCATACAATTTGAAGTTAGGCTGGAAGGGTAAGCAGTTTTTTTCTGGATGCATCTGAAGAGCAATTTACTTATTCTTTTGCTGATGTTCAGAGCATTGTCTGGGTGGACAAGCTGAAGAGAATCCCCATTCTGGAAATTTAAAATCTAGCAGGGATGGCACAGAGGCACATTACTGAACAAAGCCCACCTTCATTCTGCTCCCTGAGTAAAATAACACTCCTGGAAATCTTAGAGGTTGTGACCGTGAGGCCATTTTACCTTCAGGAATTTAATCATTTTCTTCACCACTCCTGTTCTCACAGCCTCCTCGATGATGTTCAGAGAGGAAGAAAGGGTCCGGCTTAGAACACCAGCAGCTCTCTGTGTGAAACAGAAAGAGAATGATTAAATGTCTGTTTCAGAAATGCTGATGACCTTTAAAAGTTAACAAGAAGTTTGGCAAAGCAAAAGCAATCATTAGTATCAGAAGCAGAACACGCACCTGGATTTTTAAACAATGTAATGGCCAAGTCACCTGTGGCAAGCATGGTTACTGTTAATGAAGCTGCGAGGTAGGCAGTTCAAACACTGCCCCCTGGATCACAGAGGCCCCCCTGACTTCAGCTTTACCCAGGATGGACCAGCTCAACTCTGAGAAGGAAAGCCCTCTCTGGTCCCTCCCAGAGTTCCACACCAGCAGGGCCCTCATTAGGAGAGGTTCTGCTTTCTGGATCAATCCTCTCTTTTGAGTTTTCATTTATCCTTATCTTTCTGAATCTTTGTCTTTTTGTTCTACTTTCTGGGAGATTTTATTTACTTTATTTCCCAGCTCTCATGGCTTTTTAAAAATAATATCAAGTAGTTACTGTCTTGTGGGTATAACTAACTATCTTGAATCTTTCTCAGGATGAAACTGATAGTTACTACTATTTTCTTCTATTTCCTATATATCTTTCTTTCTCTGGGGTCATTTTTTTCTGTTTATCTTTGTTTTTCTATTTGTGTGTGCTTTTCCTAAAATGTCTGATGACCTTAGATGCCCAATCACATTTATGAAAAAAAGCAATAAAGATGTGTGTGGGCGTGTTGTGTTCATGGGAAGTTTGTTGACAGGCAGGCAGAGACAGGGCACCCTTCAATACTAAAAAGACCTCAGTTTTCTCTGGACTTCCAATTTATTAGAGGAAAAAATACAGGACTTAAGTTCTAAGGCTTAAAACAGTGGACAATATGCACTATCCAAGGACCAGATTCCCAGGATGAAGCTGCTGCCCTGCACAGCAAGCTGGGAAGCACCCAACTGGGACATGCATGGAATTATAGGAAAATCTGACCCGAGAGCTTCCCTGAGGACACAGGCCCAGTTTTAGGTCTGAACCACACAGAAAAGCCCCAGGCACTTGAGAATAGTGGTACTGACCACTTTGAGGCAGGTCACGGGCCTCTTCTGAGGCCCCTCTTATAAAATGCATGCCCCTCTTATAAAAAATGCACATATACTTGGAATCTACACAATTTCCCAGGGTCCAGGGAACCTGAAGACCCACCACACTTTCATGGAGTTCAGGTTGCTGCGAGTACTTGCCCTAAACAAAGTAGGTTGGATCTTTGTAGGAGAACCATTTCTAAACCCTGGAGCCATTCACCAGCCTACAATCCTTGAAGGGCTAGTTTCCCAGACTTGCCTTGAGTATGAACCTGACTTTTGCTCTAAGTTTTAGGTCCTGCCTTAACAGGTAGGAAAACAGGGCTGAATCTTTCTAATGTAAGAGAAGAACATGCTCTAGGATGATGGCGAGTACCTCTTAAATCACCTCTTAATATTCTTCTCCTGATGCCCTGTGCTAACATAAGCCTTCTCCATCTTGGCCAAACAGCAGGACACAGAAAGCCTTTCTAGCATGTGTTCCCAAAGGGTCCAAACCATTAAGCATAAACAAACTCTAAGACCTGTGGCTTCAAACATGTTTTTCTCAATGATGGAAGAAAGGGATTGTAAATAAAATCCTTTGGCCTGTCTGGTCTGCACATGATCTCTTGAAATATGATAAACAGGGTAGATTATATATATTATCTGGTTAGATTCCAGAATATATAGAAAATGGATTCTTAACTTTGATTCATGGACTACAGGGGGTCTACAGATGCACTCTGAAAGCAGGTCACCAAATATCCCAAACTGTAGGCAAAATTCAGCATTTATTTGTTTGTGGGCATCATTCAGAGGTGCACATCTACTCCATACCTCAGAGAGGAACCAAATTCTCAAAGGTGGTGACGGGAAGAAGGTTGAGATGCACTGACAGCAAAGTAGAACAAGAACAAGAGCAAGGAAGCCACTTCTGGACTCTCTAGAGAACTTACTGTTAGGATTCCTCCATCCTGGCAATGCAGTAGAGTCAGGCATCTTCTGCTCACCTCCATAGCCCAAACCTACAAGCACGGTGAGAGGGAAGAAGGAGAGTTGAACACCCTGATCATTGGAATCCTCTGTGGAGTTGCTTCTGAGCAGGAAAACAGAAATGACTCCCTTCTCCCCGCCACCACGTGCTGTGCAGATGTCCCCATAATGCCTTTCATTGCTCTTCTTCCTTTTTTAACTCTGGGCAATGCTTTGACAACAGGGGCCATACTTTATTTGAATTTGTATTCTTCTCTGCACCCTGGGCACACAAGTAGCTTTCTGAATGAACGTGTAACTGAGCAACTTATCTCATCCTCAGCAGAGCAGCGTGACAGCTTCCCTCCAGCCCTCTACATTCCCACTACTAGCATTCGAGTCTGTATGCCTTGGTTGTCTTTGAGAATGTGAATGGTTCTATGCAACAGGATGAGTTTAGGCTGTTCCAGGGCCCAGAGAGGGAGATAAGAAGGCCATACCTCTGAGACAAAGGGGACCTGAAGACACACGTTCATGATGAGTCCCAAGAGTGTGTATGTGATCTCTCTGAATAGGTCCAGGTCCTCCTCACACCTGGCCTTGGAAACAAAACAAGGTAAACAATGACCTTGCTGCTTGACAGCTTTTCATGGTCATCTCTTCCCTTAGACAGAGTCTCAAAGATACTTGAAATTGTCAATGTCATGAATTTAAGTGATGGTGGAAGCCCAGAGACCGGTTCTGTGACTTCACGTTAATCCAGGAGCTGTGGAAGGTGTCTCTGGTCCTCTGTCATTTTAAACCTAGGGACAAGCTGGGCCTGTCCCTAGGTTTAAAATGAAGAGTGAGTGCTGAAATGAATGATCAAGTCGGTTCTACCAGGAAATCCTACAAATATTGACAGGGTGGCTGAGACTTGATCTGGAGAGGCCTTTAAGTCTAGCAGTCCATAAAATCTATGTTTACAGAGGGACTAATAACTAGTGGCTCCTGCACCTTGAGAAACAGAATTTTTGAAAGATAATTAAAAAGGAGATACTGCTCCCCTAAAAAGATAAAATACCAGCTTTGAATAGAAAAACCAAAATACCAGGAATCCCAAGCAGGCATCCCCAAAGTCTTCACAGGCTGCCATGTGCTTCCGGGTGGCAGGCTCAGCACTGAGGTTCCCCATGATGGCAATGCACTGGCAGAGAGCTGAGGCATTAGTTACCTTGGGATCCCTCTTCTAAAGTAAAGCAAGAGAAAGCGAGGCCTCAGAGAGCAGGCAAATGTCTGCTAGGAGCAGCCCTCACTCAGCAAAAGGCTGGGATTCAGAGCTTAATGCCACACAGGGACATCAATTGGGGTCACCCTAACAACACAGTGAAGCCTAGAAGGGCTTTGTGCCTCCCATGAATCAGCTGGGAGGACCTGGGCAAATCCCTTCGCTTCTCCATTCCCACAGCTGAAAAACTCTGGGGTAGGATTACACTCCTGGAGGACCCTGAAGCTTCATGACTATCTGGGTACAACTTGCTCTCCATGGTGGACCCTTACTGTCCTCTGCCTGAAAGAGATGATTTCCTTTCAGGGGACAGGTGCAGGTTTTCCTGAAGATAAGACTTTATGCCAGGAGGGGACTGATGAAGACTGACACCCCCCACCACCACTGTTACCTAGGCTGCAGTCCACTTGCAGTTTTTTTCTCCTCTGTGACTGACCCTGATCATATGCCACCTCTACCTGTCCAGACTAAAGCTATTTTAATAATTGACACTTTTGTATAAATTGCAGCTGGGAATAATGTTTAATCAATCTGAGAGACAGAGTGGTTCCAGGGTGCAAACTGTATTTAAACAGCTCTGTTCAACTCCTGGGTGCCTGTCATGGAGGCTAGAAATGAGTGTTTGCTCACCAGAACACCTATGAGTGCCGGAAGAGCATCTGGAAGGTTGGCCTGGAAACGGACTTGGAATCTGTTGAGAGAATAGCAGCCAGAATTACTTCTACATGGCACAAGCTATAAAATACAACATTTTGGGTTATCCACTGGGCTCCTATGATTTATAGCATGCATGAATAATTCACTCTGAGCTTTGGCCTCCAAAACTGTCACTGAGTATGTAATATGGCTTTAGTTTTTCTAAGTCTAGAGAATTGTCTTTGACGTCAAACACCAGACCTCAGATGGCAGATCTTCTGAGTCGAATTACCGGACCTCTGGTGAGTTGACTCTGCACCCTGAGTCTATAGGTCATATGTGTGATGTGCAGATGGGAAATACAATGTAAGCACATTGACTTGTTACAGCCACCAGGAGGGGCCCAGATGCATACATGTGTCTATGTGCTAGAGCACTCCTCACTCCAGGCCTGGGCCAGATGCCTGGCTTGTCTATAAGCACCAGCAGTTCTCAATCACATGACGATTTCTAGGCAAGATCAGTGATTTTTAAAAAAAAATCTTAAGAATGAGAAAAATAAGAGTTTTACTATTATTCACCCCAAGTGCTAATCAAAAGAAAAATACAAAAAACAGGCAGGAGGAGGAGTTTATTCATAATATCACTGGCAACCCAAGGGGAGGCTACACCTTACACTCATTCTTGCCTGCTTGCTCATTCATGTTCATTCCATACAAATGTGCTGGGCAGTTACTGTGCACCAGGCACCAAGGGGAAGAAGCTTCCCTGACACTTTTCAGGTGCACTTACTGTGATAGGCACTGTTCTAAGTAGCCACCCTCTTATATCTGTGAGAAATTGATACCAGGACCCACGTGGATATCAAAATCCAAAGATGCTCAAGTCCCTTATATAAAATGTGTACTTGCATATAACCTACACATATTCTCTTGTATTCCTCAAATCATCTTTAGCTTACAGAACCTCATACAATGTGAGTGCTGTATAAATAGTTGTTATACTCTATTATTTAGAGAATGACAAGAAGAAAATATGTATATGTTCAGTACAGATGCATGTTTTCCAACATTTCTAATCGCTGGTTCATTGAATCTACAGATGTAGAACTCACAGGTATCAAAGGCCAACTGCATGTTACTTACTGCACCCAAACCCACTGAAGACTGACCTTCCCTGCAGAAAGACTGACATGGGAGCGAAAATCCACAGCCTCTGGAAGGCATTGGCCTTCCTATTCAGCAAACCTTGTGAGGCCCGGTCAGACATGCCTAGCCTATCTGTATACTGCACATGTAAGAAAATGATAGTTCAACACAGGCAGAAGAATTATCAGTTTCTGGAACTAAAAAAGTTACCTTTCATCCAGAGCCAAGTCTGTGAGCAGTCCCATGGCAATGTTGGCCTTCTTATCTAAGAAATCAAGAAATGACAGCAGGGCTTCCAATAATCTGCAAAAACCCATAAAAAGCCTCAGAGGGGGCTGTCCTCCAACTACCAGCCTCCCCAACAAGGTGACCGAGCAAGGAGTTCAGGAAGGAGTTGGGAGCCTGGTGAGAGAAGCTGAAAGGGTGGCCTAGCCATGCCTCGCCAGGACGCCCAGCTCCAGGCCTGACTCAGAGAGATACTATCCTTCCATGGCTCTACCACTTAACATGAATTCCCTGGGGTTGAATAGTGTTAACTAAAGTTTATAGATTACCAGACACCAGCTTGGGAAGGAGTCTCTGGGGCTCTGCTCTGTGATTCTGGCTCAGTCAAGTTCATTAACTTAGATGACATCTAAATGGCACACTTACTAATATGCTGATGACTAACGTGGGAGGCCCCCTAATAAGGCAGATGATGGAATAAAGATTTAACAAGATCTTGACAGGCTGCTGAACACATCAGATAAAATTTGATAGGATTAAGCTCAGACTCCTCTACTGAGAGCTAGAGATTCTGTATAGTAACAGCATTGGGAGACCTGCATTATAACTGGCTCACAAAGAAAAGGGCTAAGGGATTTTAGTCTACTACAAACACAGTCTGGCCAAGCAGTCTGAAGCAGCTGCCAAAAATGCTACTGAATTCTCACACTGTCCAAACGGATGTACTGGCACCAGAATAATGGTGCCATTTGCCCACCCAGCAAACCTGTACTGGGCATCTACACTGTGCTTAGTACTGTGCTCAGCACGGGCCTCCTGGTTCCCCACAGTGATACACACACAAATAAATAAGGAAGAGAAGTTGTGTGTTAGATGGTGTGTTAGAAACAGACACATGTTGAAGACTCAGAGTCTACCTGGCAGGAGGCGTGGACGATGGCAATGAGGAGGGCCTCAACAGCAGATGACATTTCAGTGTCTCTTGAGAGAGTAGCATTACCTACTCATTCCTTAATCCATTCAGTCAACAATACTGAACGAGCACTGACCATATCAGGCAATGTGGCAGGTTCTGGGGCCATAACAATAAAACAAGACTGTGTCCTGGCTCAGCCCTAGACAGTGTCCAGGGAGCTTGCAGGCCAGCACTGGGCACATGGGGACAAGAAAACAGCATGTCAGGCAAAGTAACCTGAGGCAAGTTTGGGTACTAGTAGAAGCTTCTTATAATTAGTGCTTAGAGTAGGAGGGGAAGACAGGGACAGTGAGGCAAGAGAGATAGACAGACCTAGATCATTGTGGCCCTCTGTGGTCTGCTGGACAGTTTTCACAACCCTAGAGGCCTGTGTTCTCCAAAGTAGAGTTGGTGGAAGACATGCTTAGTGGTGGTCACAGAGGAGTAGCAAGGACTCCCAGGCCACTCTCAGCCGCTGTGTGGGAGAAGACTCCAGGATGCTGCATTTTTAATCAAGGACTCAGGTGACTCACAATCACTGTATCTCAGGAATTGAAGAAACAGTCATATAGGCAACAGAGAGTCATTGCAGCATTTTAAGTAGGAAAATAACAGGACAGATGTGCTTTTTTTTTTCTTTTTTTTGGTACCGGGGATGGAACCCAAGGGTAATTAACCACTAAGCCATATCTCTACATATCTCTATCCCTTTTTGTATTTTATTTAGAGACAGGGTCTCACTGAGTTGCTTAGGGACTTGCTGAGTTGCTGAGGTTGGCTTTGAACTCACAATCCTCCTGCCTCAGCCTCCTGCTGGGATTATAGGTGTACACCACCACACTCAGCCCGATGTGTGTTTTTTAAAATAATCCTTTTGTTGACAGGGCAGAAGCCAGATTGGAGCATGTGGGATGGGAGGCAGGGAATCTAACCAGGGAGAACTGATTGTCCAGATAATAAAAGTGAAGAGACCAACCAACAGTAGCAGCTACAGGGGAAGCGGTACCATGAAAAAGGAGGTACTTGTAAAGACTGAGAAGGAATGACTAAGAGAAGGAGGAGAAATGGAATGAAAACAGGAGCAAGGATGGAAACATACTGACTTATAGATGTGGTAAAGGGTGACCCTGTTACTTCCAGGATCATGGTTTAGGCAAGTGGATGGATAGAAGTCCTCTGCAAAGACAGGAAGTTCAGGCAGAGGTCTGGACTGAAGAAGCACACTTCAATTTATTAAATTTATGGCACTCATGGGCACTGAAATAGAGATATCCAGTGGCAGAAGGGTGTTGTTATCCAGTACTTGAGAGAGGGACTCAGACTGTCTCTTAATCAAGGCCACAGTTGAAATGAGGACCACGGGTAGGATTCTGGAGTCTCTGACTTAAAAGGGAGAGCATAAAGGGACTGATGAAAGAAGACAAGGAGGTGAAGCCAGGAGTGAGGAGGTGGGCCAGGAAGGGGCATGTCCTGACAGTAGTGGTTGTGGAGCTTCGAGAAGGGTAGGATCAAGAGGATCCAATGCCACAGGGCAGCCAAGTGAGGGAAAGACAGGAAAGAGCCCATCAGAATGGGCAGTTGGGAATGTGGCATCTAGTCACTCACTCTTGGGGGATGAGATCTGCCTACCTAGGAGATCTTCTAGGAGAGGCATGGAAGCCAAATCACATGAGGGAGCCAGGGTGCTTAACCTATAAAAGGCTGGTGTCTTCCTACACTTAAGGCACTGGAAAGCAGAAGGAACCGAAGCCTTCTCTAGGCCTTCCAGAGTCTAGACTTGGCTTCAGCCCAGAATGCTACGGGGCAGCAGTTTGTGTTCGGTGTAAGGAAATGACTTCTAGCAACTAGACCTAGGTTGGAAGTGGACAGGCTGCCCTGGGAGGTGAGCTCCACGTCTTCACTAGATGGGGAAAGACTCGCAGTCTGTTAGCTATGTTAGTTCCCATCTCCAAACAACCGAAAATGCTGGCTCTTCCCTGGGGATCATGCACAGGTGTGCTGGGATGCCTCAGAGGGGCATCCAGGCTGGGCAGGTCAGGTTGGTTTGTCACTAAGGTCAAGGTAATGCCAAGCTTCTGCAAATTCCTCACTTCCTCAGGAGTCTACTCCAGAGTTCCTGTTGTCAGATGATTTGTTTTAAAGTGAGGTCAGATTCCTTCTCCACCAATTTAAATCTATTTTCTTGGTCTTAAAGATGAATGCTAATGAACCTGAACAGCACAGAGGATGAGACAACAGTCTAAGATCAATTTGGTTTTGTCTTGGGAGATGTACACAAGTTGGCTCCCTCACCATGTGACAGAGTACTCATGCTGAGTGCAGTCATTACTAGAGGAGACAATGCGTCTGTCCTTTCTAGCTCCTCTCATCCCCTCTCCTTCAGAGGCAGATTTTCTGCTCTGTTGATAGGCAGCTGTCCCTGTGGACGCACCACACAGGTCAGAGAAAGGTCTCAAGCAACCTGTAAAGGCACTACCACCTCAGTTTAGGAGCCTGAAGAGAAAAAAAAAAATGATGACAGAAGTAAGCTGCATCCATGCCGAGTCCAGGCATGAGGCTAGAGTCTGTTTGCTCCTAATGCCTCCCAGTCCCACTCCCTGCCACTCTGCCTGACCCCAACATAGAAGCTAGGGCCATTTTCCCTACCAGGGGTGGCATGTGACAGAATTTTGTTCTAACATATATAAACAAACAGTGCTTTTCTTAATAAAAAGAATGGATCTGGCTGATCTGTTTTAGAAAAGGAAGGCAGGCTACAGCAAGCGAGGAGTGCCCAGGGGGAAAGGTTAGAGCACAGAGACTTTGACTTCGACATCTTTAAGTCATCTTTTAAGTCACAGGTTACTATGCTTAGTCTTTCCTTGTTTTGTGAGGAAAAAAAATAAGCAAGGCTCTGTTTTGTTGAAGCTCTTTTCGGTTGAGCATTCAGTACGATGCTGCAGAAAAAACTTTAACCAACACAGATATATCATCTCTCTTAAATGTTATTGTAAGTTTCAGTTGCAGAGGAGACACTCTGGCCCATCAGGGTGAGTAACTTCTCTGATCATATAATTACAAAGAGACAAGCAGAGGATTTAAGCTCAGAACTGCTTGAGTCTAAAAATCCAGCCCTGTCTACAAAGTGACAATGGCCCTTGGCCAGTCCTCATCAGTGAACATTCACTCTCTCAGCCTCACATATGAGGGGAAGCATTTTGGGAGGAATGTGATCATGTGTGCCTCTGTAAGAGTCGTGGGACTGTGTGCTGTCCTGTCCTGCTTCTGCCCACTTCATTTCATTGTGGAGAATCCATTACATCTCCTTCTAATTTAATTGAAGATGGACATTAGCAAGACTAGTGGGCAAAAAAGTAATAAGCTGAGATTTCTCAGTCTAAAGAGTGTGGGCAGAACTGCATGAGGTGATTGTAAATGTCACTCTCCAAGACACTGGAAAAATGCAAATTGAGACTCAAGCAATTCAAAGATAGCTTGGGGAAGAAACATTTATGATAACTATAGCTATATTTACTCAAAGAGACAAAAATCAAATGAAAAAAACGGTGAAGGTACCGAGAAAATAACTGCAGATTCATTTGAAAAATAAAATGTGCTTTTGGAGAATTTAACTCCACTGACAGTCCACCCACCAGATGGACTGAGCTTTAGGGGCCACCAAAGCCATGCTGGGGGGCACTGTGGCAGCAACTAGATGGTGATGGGGAGACAGAGAGAGCCACAGCTGGGGTTTACTGACCACCCTGTCCTTAGCACACAATGAACCTCCTCAGGATGGGACAGGTGCTGACAGGGCTGCAGATTTGGCTCCTTTTTTCTTCCAATTGGGACCAAAGGGCAGAAACCAGGTGCCAAGGAACTACATCTGGGAGAGAAGAGGATAAGTTTCCCTTGGCACTTGCTGTAGCTTTTCCTGCCTCATCTGTGAAATGGAGTCATAACACTGTTGCCTGCATCTCAGGACAGGGGAGTTTAAAAAGAAATAATAGTGAGGAAACTGGAAGGCTAACTACTAGTTTTAGGTTATATCTGAAATGCTTACAGAGCAGGCTGTAGTCACTGCTACTCTTTCCCTTAAGCTGAGCCACATGATATGGCTGACATGCATCCTTTCTAATATAAAAAATGGCAATTTCCTATGTTTGAATCAACAACCTGAAGATAAATAAATTGAAAATTAATAAAAAATAAATACTCTAAAAAAATAAACAAAATGATTAAAGAAAACTGAAAAGTACTGAGCACAGTCACTGTGGTTCAGGTAATTTTTTAGGGAAGTCTTGGAAAAGAGGGACATTCCATTCTTATGTGATTCAACCTTAAAAGCTTTTCTTGTAAAAGCATTTGTTTTATTAATTTATACTCTACCTTCTTTTCAGAAAGAGGTACAAAATGAGGTGGCATTGCTTCAAACAGGAAAGAAAGAGAAAAAGTAAGGGCAAGAACAGGATAGGGCCAGGCCTGAGGTTAAAAGAGTAGAACCAAGTGACCCTTTTCAAAGCAGAGCTCCAGATTTGGCTTTAGAAGTGCCACCACTGACATTATCTACAATATCTGTGAGATGGAGACACTTCAGTTGTGTGGGGACAGTGAACTGTTCTCCGTACTTGTTATGGTTTAGATAAGAGGTGTCCCCAGAAGCTCATGTATGTGACAATGCAGGAAAGTTTAAAGGTGGAATGATTGGGTTACAGAGCCTTAACCTAATCAGTATATTAATTCCCCAATAGGAATTAACTGAATGGTAACTGTAGGCAGGTAGGGTGTGGCTGGAGGAGGTGGGTCACTGGGGGTATGCCCTGGGGGGGGTTACATTTAGCTTGTCCATGGTAACAGCTTGTCTCTGCTTCCTTGTGGCTCTACCCTGGGTTGCTTTCCTTCTTTACACTCTTCCACCATGATGTTCTGCCTCACCTTGGATGCAGAGCTAAGGATCCGGCCATCTATGGACTAAGACCTCTGTGACTATGAGCACCAAATACTTTACATCCTCTAATTGTTCTCTTTGGGTCTTTTGGTCTCGGGTGAAAGAGCTGACTAAAAGAGTACTGAGTTCAGACAGGAACTTATCCCAGAGCTGCTTGGGACACAGCATTACTTTCAAAGGCTCTTTCTGCTACTGACCCTTCAGGAAGCCTGACAGCAGTCCATACACAAGAGCAGCATAAGGAGCTGAGGCAGGCCCCTCTCCATTTGTCTAGTGAGTGGGGACCTGAGATGCCACCATCAAGACCCCTTAGCAGAGTCTTACCGGGTCAGGTCAAGGTGGCTGATGACCAGGCTCCGTCCATTCTCTGTCTGGGCAAGCTGTACCAGTAGTGCCAGGCTCTCCTGTTGGATGGCAAGGACTCTGGATGTCAAGAGGGAGGGCACCAGCCTGGCCCAATCTGGGTACATCATAAGCAGACGCTGGTTTTCCTCTGCAAAACATAGGGGTTATCTGCTTGGTTCATGTCATGATGGCAGGTAAGCCTGTTTTTTCTCCCACCCTCCCAATGGGAAATTAATTCTTATCCATTCATTTGAGGGGCAGGATAATATGTCAGAGCAAGCCTCAAGAGCCAGACTGCTGGGTTTGAACGAACAGGGAGCAACCTTAGCCAACTGTCAACTCCTATGTCCCTCAGTTTCCTTATTGGTAAGATGAAGGCAATGACTCGCCTCCTAGAGCTATTAGTAGGATTTAATGAGTCAATACCTGATCAGGCCAGAATGGCACACACTCAATGGCTACCATTATTGTCAAAAGGTTCCTTGGTATATAGTATCTGGAAATGAGAGGCACAGGTAAGAAATATGCTTAACTGTGGAATATCATTAGATCATCAATCTTCATATAACAGCCAGAGTAAACATTTGAGTTCTCTCTCAGAAACTGGAATGTCACATAAGTTAATTAATAAAGCATGCCCTCCTCCTAGACTATGAGCTATTTTAGAGTAGTGGCATAGATTTACTTCCTTACGCTTGACCAGGTATTTGAATTTATCTGAGTACAGAGAGGAGCAGACAGGAGTATGAGACTGAGGTATGAAACAGGGCACAGCAAATTGGATCTCAGCAGGATGAGACCCATTGCTATGCCTCATTAACCTGGGCTCTCCTCTCTACCATGTTAACTGCCCATTTGTACATGGCACACAGCATTCAAGAAGAGGACACACCAGGGCTCTTCAGAGACCTGATCAGCCACCTGATCAGCCATCTCTAAAAGAGCCAGATGCAGAAGCACAGGATCTGACTTTCAGCCTACCCATCAAGCTACCCATGTTTTCGTTCAAACATTAAATTTCAATCCTACAGTTCACCTGTCTATGTAAAATAGGATCTACTGATCTTCAAAATGGAAAGATTTATTGGTTTGTTTAGTTTACAATTTTTTTTCTTATACTGGAAAAGTAGCTTGTTGTAAGTCATTTAAAGAACACAGAAGTAGTATAAAGCTAAAAATGAAAGTCCCCTTCCCCAGTGCCCCCTCCAGGTAAGCCTATTTTATAAGGAGCTATTATTCACTCTCACAAGAATAATGTTAAAAATACTACACATTGGGGCTGGGGTTATGGCTCAGCGGTAGAGCGCTCACCTCGCACGTGCAAGGTCCTGGGTTCAATCCTCAGCACCACATATAAATAGTTATCGTGTTCAATAACAACTACAAAAATAAATATTAAAAAAAATACTACACATCCTACCTGTAGTTGGCTTCTCTTCCCCACTCAACAATATGTCACCAATATATTTTCATGTTCTCACTTTTAAGTGTTTCATTTCCCATTTTAAAAACTTCTCTGTATTTATTGGGTTAGATTTATCAATATTTCATGGATCTAAGATACTTACATGTACATCTGAGGCTGTGTCTGACAATATTTTTCAGATGTTAAAAAATGTAGCTCCAAGGTTCACAGATACCAAAGTAAAAGTGTTGCTATTTCAGATTCACACAGAGAAAACACCAGCACCAAGCCCTGCCTTGCTCACACCCCTGCAGGTGCCTTTGCAAACACACAACCCTAAGCCAAGTGGCGTCTTAATGCAGAAGAACAAGGCACCTAGATGACTCCTCTGGGTAGAAAGTGTTTTAGGAACTAGGTTCCCTGATTGTCTAGTTTTCTAGAATTTTTTTTTTATTAAGTTCTTGTCAAGAGTCCACTCTATTAACTCAAGGGGGAAATATATTATCCCACAGTCAGCATGTACAGGATATACTGCACTCATAAGATCTATTAATGGCTCACCAAATAGCCCTGTGAAAAGGAGATGCAGCTATCATTATCCCCATTTTTACTGTTTCATGTCCAAGGTCATACCTTCTTCCATGAAACCCTTCTTAAAAATGAAGGAAATATTTAAAACCTTTATTGACATTGAAGTTAGAAAGGTGATTAAGAAAGATTATCTATGAACTTAATGAACTCCAGAAGACACTAGCATGAAGAAAGGTAAGAGCTGACTTGGAAAGTAAAATGCTCACACCATTTTATTGTCTCAGTATTCAACACTATCAGTGTGTGCAGATGCTGGCCGGTGCACATTGTACATCTCAAGATACTGAAAGTGATACGATGGCAGCAAAATGAAATAACATTTTTAGGCAGACAAGAAAGGAAACACTGTCCATCCCATGGACAGTACATGAGAAGTAGTCATGGCTTGCAAAGAGGGGAGGGAGCCAGGTGAGGTGACCACTCCTTATGCAGACAGTGACCTGGCCCACCATCCTCTGCGCAGCTCTCCCAAGGTTGGGAGGAGTGTGCAGGCAGGATGCTACAGACAAGGCTGCAAAGCAGATCCTGCTTGTGATCCACATGATTTTGTGGGGAGGGGTGTGTGTGAAGGTCTACACCAATTCTCTTAGGCCTGGCCTTCTGGGGCTGGGGGACAATCATGCCAAACCTGCAACTTGCACATCACCAGCAGTGAGCCGGTGATTAGCGGTGGTGATCTGGGCTTACCATTCTCACTGCACACTGCTTGCCAAAGCTTCAGAACAGACACACAGATCGTCTCTTCAACCACATCTTTCCCTGTCATGGAAAAGCACCTACAATGGACAGAGAGAGCAACACAGAATTTAGAAATCAGTCCTGATTTTCTTTTCACTTGATTTTATTTCACTCCCAAATTTGCCAAATGCAAATTTAGAAAATTTATAAAATCCAGAGCCACAGGTCACCAGGATCAAGGACTGGCCATCACTGATCCAGATCATGGACATAGGTTGAGGAGGTTAGGGTTGCCCAGGGGGTGGGTGGTAAGCCAGGGGCTGTGGGGATGACTGAATATACTGGCACATGCTGGCAACTCAAGCCCATGTCAGGGTCCTAAGCCTCAGGAATTATACCAGAATAGCTGAAATGTTAAATGCAAATAAGTTCAGCAAATCACCCCCTACCGGTTGGTAATTTATTCTGATGAAATTCTAAATGGATGGCCAAGACCCAGCTGATTCTACTTCTTGATGTGATTAGTAAATTCTAAAAGAGGAAAAGAACAGATACCAATCTTGGGAAACCAGCAAGAATGGTCCTTTCTCTGACTTTGAAGTGCCCGGAGGAGCCCTGGCTCTTCTCCTACTCTTCCTCCTCTCCAACTGCTAGCTGAAGCATGACTCAAGTGACCTAAGGTTCCAACCTCAAGGGTGTTAGTGTGGGAGCTCTGGGATCCTGGAGGGGCCACCACTGCTGAACGAGGGGCAGGGACACAGTACCATCACTGTATGTGTGGTCATTCCCAAGAAATGGTTCTTTCCTTGCTTTGATGCTGGGTTATCTTCCCAAACATCCCTACCTTCTTATGACTTCATTGTCACTGATGATGCGGAATCCACCGTGTATTCTGAATAAAGTTCGTTCTGTGCCTGAGACAAATTCATAGGAAACCAAATCAGGCTCCTGAACTGTCCAGCTGGTGTCCAGCACAGCACAGCAAGCTGATCACTAACTCCTAATATGGCAGATCCAGATCACCAAATTGACAGTTTGGCAGCAACAAATACCTCTACACTTCGAAAATGTAACTGTCATCAGCCACTCAGTGATGCAGTCAGAGGGACTACCTAGAGAAGGAGCAGAACTGGGGTGGCATCATGGGTAAGCGGCACAATTCATCAGGTTGCAATCCTTACAGAGAGCCTCCGGGAGCTGCTTAACCACTGTAAAGGACTGGCACGCCCATCTGTTCTTAAATATTTATTCTGAAGTGATTTCCAGGCTCTAGAGAGGAACCCGTAATCTCCCAAAAACTGCTGGAGGGGATATTTGAGTGCTCTGAATTGTACACAAAGGCAAGCCAGGGATGGCCATCCATTTGTGCAAGCAACATTCTGTACAAGTAACAAAAATTGTTTAAGCCCTGGCATCAATGTTTACAAGAGCTGGTAAAAGGAAGCAGCACAGCTCTCATTAGTGGAAGGAGTGCCAATGCTTCCTCTGAAACTCTCTTCACATTCTAAGCAGTCATCAAGTGTATCTGGTGTGAACAGGGCAGTTTATCCTACAAACTTCTACCTTTTCTTTCTCTACAGGGAGGAGGTTGTGTGCATAAAGAATGTCTAGGGTGGGCATAGGAATGTGTGGAACACATGTGAGGACTACCTGTGTGTAGAATATGTACACTGATACCAGTACATGTGTGGAGTGAGTGTGCATGTACGGTTTGAGAACATAATATAAATACATACGGAATGAGTGCGTGTCAAGCATGTGTTTTATGTTTTGTTGTGTATGGTGGTTACTGTCTGTGTACTGAGGATATGCATGGTCTGAAGAGAGGATGGAAGAGGGGTGGGGGTATTTTTTTGTGCACCCCCTTTAGCACATATATTAGAGTACATCTCCAATCAATATTTGTATAAGGGACGGAAGGATTCTTTGCCTTATAAAGCCATACCTCCAAAGCCTATCCCTTCACACTGACAGTACGCATGAGAAAGAACACATCTCTAGCTTACAGTCCTTCATCATTTCTGTCAGGATCTCCATCCCCCCTGCATAGAACAAGGGCATCTGGTCAGGTTTGGAAAGGGATTCCAGGAGGTTTTTGGTTGTCACAGCTGTGTCCTTTCCTGAATCCAGTAATTCATGGGCTTCCTTCTCTTGAAGGTCTGCCTTCTCCTGAAGATGGACTTGGTTCAGGTACTCTAGCAAAACAAGCAGGAGAAACCCAAACTCAAACAAAACCCTAACAATCAAAACACCACATAAGAAGTCACCTTTCCCTCCTCTCCCTATCTCTTCCTCCCTCCTTCCCTTTCCTTCTTTTCCTCCATCCAGATGGGAGGCTGAGAAGCATAAACACATGAAAATAACTGAAATTTTTCTTCAGCAAGAGAATTTTAATAACAATGTAAAGTCTACACCAAGAGTCTTAAACATTTCATCTTGGGGACTTAGAAGATTAGAAGTCTCTAAAGGAGGAAAGCATAGGAAAAAAGGAAGCAAAAATCAGAGCAAGCAAACAGAAGGAAAAGGAGCAGACCTATTAATACAGGGCTGGAGAATAGAAAAGGCCAGGCTGTGGCCTCATGGCCAAGGGCAGGGACGGTAGGAAGGCACCCTTGGGAGGAGCACAGAGGGAAATGAGATTAGAAGGAAGGGTATCAGCAGGAGCATTCTCACCTTTCATCTGTGTCTGAAGCTTGGGGTTTATTTCTAAGATCTTCTGGTAACACTCTCTAGACTGGAAAACAGATACAAGACCTTGAAGAGTGGTTAGTGGGTACAAGAAGGATTACAAGAAGGATACAGGGCATTACAGGGCTTGGCTTCTTCATTATTTCCTCCTGGCCTCCTCTTGCTCCCAATGCAGGAAGCAGGCATGAAAAACACAGTGTGCATTTGACGTGTTGTTTAGGCTTCTCTGGATCTGTATGGTACCAGGTAATATTTCAAAATTCATTTTAAAAAGTTGTATTGTCAGATATAGACTGTGATGAAAAATATCCAGTCTTACACTTTTGTGGATAATGTCTGTCTGGGACAGGAATAATCATAAGGTAAATGTAAAACTTAGCTATGATATTTGCTCTAAGAAAAAACAGGAGTCTACCTGACAGATATGCCCATGGGGAGTTAGCAAATAAATAAAGCTGGAGATAGTGTTGACAGACTCAGAAATAGGAAAAGAGGGCTGCTCGTGAAACATACAGACTGCTCAGAGAGCAGACAGGGGCCCACTCACTGGCTGCAGCTAACTCAGCCAGAAACCAGCTCTCATTGAGAAAACTGTTGGATAAGAAATTTCTGGAACAAGAAAGATTCCACATCAGGGGGATTTCTGGGCTAAGTCAATATTATCTATAGGGATGTAAGAAATGCCCAGAGGATAATCCAACCAGTTACCAAGAGAAAAATACTAAGGAAAAAAACCAGTTCTGAGATATCCTGAAGGTTCAAGGTTTATCTAGAAGACTAAGATAATTAGAAAAAAACACATCAACATTAAAATAAAATAGTAGTGTCACCGGATAAAAGCATATACATTGAATCCAACGTCTCTTCAACCCCAGATTCAATCTGTCAGCAATTTTTGTGGGCTATGCCATCAGTATGTATCCATAATCCCATCATTTCTTACCACCTCCATCATCACCATCTAGTTCAGGTCACCATTACCTCTTGTTTGGATGCTTTATTCCTATTATACAGACTTCTTTCTACTTGGTTCTCTGTTCTTATTTTATCTTATCTCTGTTCTTATTAGCATCTTGCCATGCCAATTATTTTGGGGGGAGATGGTGGCAGGGTACCAAGAATTGAATTCAGGGGCACTAAACCACTAAGCCACATCCCCAGCTCTATTTTGTATTTTATTTAGAGACAGGATCTCACTAAGTTGCTTAGTGCCTCATTGTTGCTGAGGCTGGCTTTGAACTCGTAACCCTCCTGACTCAGTCTCCTGAGCCACTGGGATTACAGATGTACCACATGGCACTCAGCACCATGGCAAAATTTATTCTCATAAAGAAGTCAGAGTAATCCTTGGAAATATAAGTTGATCATGCCACTCTTTGCTGAAATGGCTTGTAGATTATTCAAAGTGCAAGGCCCTCTGCTGAAATGCCTGGAAAACTCTACAGGACCAGCTTGTGCCCTGCCCTGTAGCTCTCTAACCTCCTCTTCCTCTCCCCTTTGTCCTCATTTTAGCCTCTATTGCCTAGAGTCCTCCTGTTTTTTGTATTCCATGGTTTGCTCACTTCACTCTCTGCCTTCCTTCAGAGAGGCCTTTCCAATCTCACATTCACTGCTTCCAGATTTATTTTTCTCAGTAGTACTCATTCCTACCTAACATTAAACCTACTACCTCTAACATGCTACACCTCTACTTATTTGGTTTTTGTCTCCCAACTGTCCCCATGCCACAAATGTATGTTCCATGACATCGAGGACTTGTCTTGTTTGCTGCTGTGTTCTTACCTGAACCGACAGTGCCTGACACACAGGAAGCAGGCAATAAATATCTGCTGAATGAACTGATTAAACTGAATGAGTAAATAAAATTTGGTGGAGAAAGACTAATAATTTCTTTATTCACATATTTTTATTCAACTTCATAGTAATAAACCTGTATTAGTTTTTTGATTCAATCTCACAAAGTAACTTTAAAAAAATGTTCAAAATGAAGCCATTTCCTTTAAATATCTAATATCTTACAGATGGAAAGATCTCCCACATTCATGGATTAAAAAACAATATTTTTCAAATGGTAATATTCCCTGAATTAATTTACGAATTCATGTATTATCCATCAAAATTCTATGTGTTTTCTTTGTAGAAATTGACAAGATGATCCTGAAGTTCACATGAAAATTCAAGAGAACCAGAATAACTAAAACTGTCTTGAAAAAAAAAAAAAGCACAGTGGGAGGATTCATAGCTCTCAATTTCAAAACTTACTTTGAAGTTACAGAAATTAAGACAGTGTGTGGTACTGGCACAAGCATATCCTTGTAGATAAAATTCAAAGTACAGAAAGAAACTCATCTATTTATGATTAACTGATTTAAATCATTCAAATGGGGAAAGAATGGTCTTCAATAAATGGTATTAGGAATAATCAGATATCCACATGCAAAAGAATGAAATTAAACACATACTTCACTCCATATTAAAAAAAAATGGATCAGAGCCATCAAACTCTTTAGAAAACAGGTGTAAATCCTCATTACCTTGGATTAGACATGACACCAAAAGCACAAGCAACCAAAGAAAAAATAGGTAATTAAGACTTCATCCAAATTAAATTTTCTGTGCTATAAAGAACACCATCAAGAAGGTAAAAGGCAATACATAGAATGGAAGAAAACATATATAAATCAATATATCTGATAAGCAATGTGTACCAAGAATATATGAAGAATTCTTACAAACTCATTAATAAAAAGGTAAAAACTACTTTCAAAATGGGCAAAGGATCTGAAAAGAACATTTCTCAAAAAAAAAAAAAGATATACAAATGACCAATAAGCACATGAAAAGATTTCAACATTATTAGTCATTTGGGAAATGCAAATTAACAACACGATGAAATCACTTCACACCCACTAGAATAGATATAATAGAGAAGAAAGACAATAACAAGTACCAAAGAGGATGTGAAGTGATCGGGACACTCATACAAGGCAGGTAGGAATGCAGCATTCTGTAGCCACTTTGGAAGACAGTTTGGCAGTTTTTCAAAAAGTTAACCCAGCAACTCTACCCATAGATACATATACCTAAAAGGATTGTAAACATTAAAAACCTGTACATGAACGTTCACAGCAGCATTATTCAAAGTACTCCGAAAAACGGAAAACACCCAAATATTCATCAAAATGGCAAATTATATGTTTTGGTCAGCTTTCTCGCTGCTGTGACTAAAGGATCTGACCAGAACAGCTATAGAGAAGGAAAAGTTTATTTGAGGGCTCATGGTTTCAGAGTCTTAGTCCACAGAGGGTGAGCTCCATTCCTCAGGGCTCAAGGTGAGGCTGAACTTTATGATGGGAGAGTGTGGCAGAGGGAAGCAGCTCACATCAGGAAGCAGAGAAACTCCAGCTCCAGATACAAAACATATACCCCATAGCCATGCCTCCAATTAACCACTTCCTCCAGCCACACCCCCCCCTGCTTCCAGTTACCACTCAGTTAATCCCACAGGGATTAATTCACTATTGGGTTGACTCTCCAAATCTTATCATTTCTCCTCTGAACCTTCTCACATTGTTTCACACAGAGCTTTTGGGAGATGCCTCACATCCTAACCATAATAATATACCCATATAATGGAGTGCTACTGGGCAATAAAAAGGAACTGAGGCAGGAGGATTGCAAATACAAAGCCAGCCTCAGCAAATGAGTGGGGCTCTATGTAACCTAGCAAGACCCTGTCTCAAAATGTGTGTGTGTGTGTGTGTGTGTGTATATATTTTAAACAGTAAGGATTTAGGGGAAACCATGTATGCATTTCTGTTCCTCAGATTGTGTGTATTTCTCCAAGCTTTTTGTTTTAATTTTTATTT